TTTGTGTAATTGTAACATGTTGCCATCGTGAAATATACTGCTGTGAAATTGGGTCCATCTCTTTTAAACACCCTGTATATGGTCAATAAAAAATGTACTATTTATAAAATACAATGCCCATGCATATGCAGGATGCTGCCATGACATGATAGTACAATGGACTTGTAATTTAAAGGTTGCTCATTCGATCTTCTGGCATGGCAGTTGAAACGATTGTGCAAGTTTCTTAATTTCCCCCTGCCAGAAGTATAAATGGGTACACCACAGTTAATTAGCGGAGCATTTAGTGTTGGGGTAAAGTGTGGAATACTGCAATCTCTTCCCAGATGTCTAGCCAACATGGAAGAGTAGACCAGAATAACCTCAAGAGGGGCTCCCTTGTGCTCTCGTGGAGGCCCTCTATGTACAACCCATGCCATGTAACGTGCAGCATGAATGCCACTTACTAGAACACTTGAAGCCCGGACATTTCTTATCCGTAAAAGCAAAAGCAAAACAGAGGACGTAAAAACAAAACTCAAAATCACGCGGTCGGTCTTTGTCAACCACGCAAATGAAACGGCGCGCGCGGGGTCCTCGGCGAGGTGCGCACCGCGGCAGGCGAAGTCGACCACGCGGGGGCGAGCAGATCGTCGCCCACGAGGCCCGCGTGCTCGCTCGTGGTGAGCACGACGCCAGGAGCACCGCCAGCGTCGCACGACAGCTCCTTCAGCCCCTCCTCGTTCCACGCGTTGCTTGACGAAGCTGCCGATTGCCCACGGCCGACACCTGCACGCCCACAACGCGACCACGGGTCGGTGTTGCGTAAAGAGCCGCGAGGTTCGCCCGGGTCACTCGCTCTCATCTGCCGCGCAGTTTTAGTTGTTCCCCGACTACGATTACGTTTATAGAGTGACCATGTCAGAGTTCTGTTGGCAGAGCACCAGAATGCTATTGTGAGACTGCGCATTAACATTCTGGCAGGGATAGTTCCATCATTTTAATTTTTGCTGCAATGCTTTTATTACAATCACAATATATATTCGGTGTATGACCAAATCACCCATAATATCCCTGATCTCATATTCTTAGTTTTTTCGGTAAAGTCACGTTGAAGGGAAACAACAAAATAATAAAATATATAAAACAATAAAACATTCTCACGACGTTTCGACCATAACTCAAACGGTCGTCTTCAGGTTTATAGACGACCGTTTGAGTTATGTTCGAAACGTCGTGATAATTTTTTTATTGTTTTATATATATTTTATTATTTTGTTGTTTACCTTCAACGTGACTTTACCGAAAAAACTAAGAATATGAATTACTGCAGTCACGAAAGCTTTAAATCAAAAATCCCTGATCTCGTCATATCTCCAAAACTAAGCAGCTTTCAGTCTGGATAGTGCTCGGATGAATGACCACCATGCCTAGCAGGTTGTCATAGTCCGATTACTGGGCAGTACAGCGAAATCCATTGTTGTACTGCACTCCGCTCTCACATCTATGCTGCCCGTCTTCACCAGCCTCCGCTGACCAGCATGCTGAAGTATGGTCTGAAACGCCCCAACAATAACCGCCATTCGCCACTAAGTGGCGATGACGTTACCACGGTGCTTGTGCCAGGCTATGTGCACGTTGAGGCCACGTGAAGTGTCGAACGCCCGCTGGCTGGCAGGAGGTCACGGGACAGACCCAGCAGGTGCCACGAGTCGACTGACTGAGATGACTGGCCAATGTACCACCTGTGCCAACTTGCTGTGCTTTAGCCACCCGGCGCTCCGCTCGTTGTTGTGAGCGTCGCTCCTCCGCCCTCCGTTGTTGTTGGAGGGCGACTGCCTCCAACTGCCCAGTAGCAGCATCCTTCACGAGCCTCCTCCACAGAGGCCGATCTTGAACACCGCTGGTACCAATCATCGGCAAGTCCACTCAGCTCCACGTCCTCCTGTACCACATCACTCCATCTCTTCTCTAGCCCGTGCCGCGCCCGTTTAGCCCCCCACTCCCCACCTCTACCCGGCCGAACGGAACCTCCCCCAACCACCCCGCACAAAGCACCCCACACAGCGTGGCTTGAACCAAAAAAAGAAGGGGGGGGGGCCTTTTGGCTGTGCCCGCCGCTCGTGTTCACGATTTGATGCGCGCGCCGCGCGTGCTGATGGCACGGTGCGTGGTGTTCGCACGCGCGTGCCTATGGGCAGCTGACACAGCGAGTTGGGGGGGCGTCGGGTCGCGCAGCGTGTCCGAGTTTGCCGTCCGTGAGCACGACCGCCGCTCGGCTCGCAAGCGTCGAGTCGCTCAGACGCCTCCGGGTGAATTCCAGCTCCTCGCCCGTGAACGTGCCGCCAGCCATCCAGCGCAGGCTCTTGATCTCCCTGTGGCGACGTGAAGGGGTTGGTTTTGGGCCACGTTGTTGTTGTTGTTGCTGTTGTTACGCCCAGAGGGGATTCGTTTCTCGCTCGGTAATTTTCCGGGGTCGCTGGTACAAAGGGCCCCGGGCGACTTCGTAGGCACAGACCGTTTGTTAATCCATTGCTGGATGAGGGTCTCCCTCGTGCCATGCCGGTCGTTGAGAGCTATTTCACCATACTTAACGTATGTATGTTGAACTTCTTTCGCACCGTCCGTAGCCAACCGTGCTAATCCGAGGTGCGGGGGTTGGTGATGGTGGAGGAAAGCAGAGAGTAACTATATTTTCCTGCAATGTCCTCTGCTGCCCACAATGTTTACATGGTGGTCGCCCATCCAAGAACTATCCAGGCTTAACCTCTGCTTAGCTTCCCAGGTCTGAGAGGGTCGGGCAGATTCCGGGTGATTTGCCTGACATCGGATAATGATCGAATGGGTGACCATCATGCACGACAGGTATTATAGGTTGATGCCCAATGCAATAGGCTAGCAGCGGAGAGTGCAGCAAACTACATTGTTGTATCGTACTTCTATGCTCCTCACCTTCATCACTCTGCACTAACCAGCACGGTACAAAACGATCAACTGAACTCCCACGACTCGCACGGTGTGGAGAGGCCCTCATCCAGCAGTGGATTTACAAAAAGGGCTATTAATAGATACCATAAGCACCGTTGTGGAAAACCAAACCATTTGTCACCATGAGCGTCATCAGCAGCTAATATAAATTTATGGATGCGAAAACTTCCTAATGAGGGATGATGATGGCAAGACCTTTGTAGATTGGCTCTGTCTCCATCAAGTATAAGCTCCTTAGTCAATTTCCATTCGAATAATGTGCAGAATTGTAAAATAGTAATTATAACTGGATCCGCTTAACTTGCCTACATTTGTATTCCGTGCAATGATCATATGATATTCAGCCTCGGTCAGGTCACTGTTGATTGCATGCCTGAATGAAGGCCTCAATTAAAACAATCATAATAATTCTGTGAGTGCAGACCATCAAGGGGGCCTGGACAAGACATTGTTCTATGGTGATTTAAATTATTCTGATCCAGCACAGTGCGGACGAGCTCCTCGCACCTTCGATTAGCACGTTCGGCTACGTACGGTGTGAAATAAGTTCAATGTACATACAACGCAAGGACACTAATAAATAATGTCTTTAACCTTAATGCTACTTTCGTGTTTCAATCGAAACTGGGGAGACGAATGCACTGCTGATCTCTCTATTGTCTCGTCTTGATTACGTGGAAGTTTACATTGACAGGACAACATCTGGTAAGTTGAATAACTTGAGTTGTGCTGCGCATCCAGATCAGATTACCGCTTGAGCTCGTTGAAGGACTGGATGGAAGACTTGTTGGAGCTCACCAGCTCCTGCATCTTTCCATGGCTGTACTGCACCACAGTGATGTGCGAGCCCTCATTTTCTGGCTAAAAAGGCAAATGTCATTTATTCAGTCAGCCATTCATTCATTTATTCATTCATTATTCAACGACCCTCCAAAATGTACCTAAATTTCATTTCGTATCCATGTGAATTTTCAAAGTACATCGGTCAGGGTTTAATAGAGCAAGGTGTAAACTAGTGATAGTTCATATTTTGGGCCAAATAGTGTCTTTACAATTATGAGAATTATGAATATCTTTTTAATGAACGTTACCTCTCTATCTTATCATTAGACCTTCTTTGCCAGTGTAGTGTTGTAAGGACGAGCAGACTTCTTTAGGAGGCACACTCTGTTTATTGTATTATTTCCTTATACATCGCTTAACACACACAGAGGGATATTCGGTCCCCTCACCCGATACCCTAGGGAGGTACAGCCTCCGGACTTGGCGGGACTCACACGTCTACCGCTAACCTCCTTGATACCTAAGGAGGTACAACCTCCGGACTTGGCGGGACTCACACGTCTACCGCTATCCTAGTCCTCCGGCTAGGACCTAGGGGAGGCTATCTGACCCACCGCTGGCCCGGTGGGTCCTGACCACTGGGTATGCCGAGCCTTAGCCCTTAGAAGGGCTGAAAGGCTGGTCCAGGGTCCTAGCTAGGCTTCAGCCCAGCCTTCTGTCTTCGTGCAGGGAGCGAACCCCTCCAGGTCCGTTGGGTCACCCGTCTTATACCCCTTCGTGGCCAGGTAGAACCAATCATACATTCCCACGTGGAACCGTCTGATTGGTTCGCACCAAACCCTGGCCACGATCCGTTTCACCTCGACTGACCCCAACCGTTGTACCCAGGGGTAATGCTGCACCGCCCTGGTGGCAACGCAGGTTACGCAACAGCGCGTAGTTAACACCTCTACACCAGTACCAAAATGTAATAATAGGCTTTTTCCCTTTTTTTCTGGCAACAAAACTGAAACCTTTTTACAATGATTCATGTCTGCATCAACCACAATACCTGCAGTCAAATACAAACAAAAACATACTGTGATAATATATGCATTGTACTTGAAACTGATTGGTCCACACCAAGCCGTCCCTTGCTGTGGACCAATCAGTTTCAAGGACAATGCATATATTATCATAGTATGTTTTTTTTTCATTTTGACTGCAGGTATTGTGGTTAATGCAGACATGAATCATTGTAAAAAGGTTTCAGTTTTGTTGCCAGAAAAAAGGGGAAAAACCCTATTGTTACCTCTCTAGTTTACACATTTTATAATCAAAACTGCTTGATGTCACACAGCTCATTCAGAAGAACGGTGTTTCTCATGAATATCCACAATATTTAATTTAAGGTGGAGCAGTGGCAGAGTGGTAACCACACTGTGCTATGAACCCGTCGACCTGAATTTGATTCCTGTTTATGGCTAACACCAGTGGTGAGTGACATGCAAACTGGTCTTGGACTCCCTCCTTCACCAACTCGCACTGATCAGCGTGGTGAAGTATGGTTTGTAAACTCCCACTAGGTCTGACACGGTGTGGGGAGGATTTTAGCAGTAGATTAACAGAGACGTGGAAACAAAAAAAGTTGAAGTCATACATTTTTCCAATTTTGGTTTTCTAACTGCAGCAACACGACATTCTTTCCGAGCTGTTATTTCACCTTGGAGAACAACAAAAAAGACAGGAGGACAGAAAATCCCCTCGGTTGTCTGTGTGAGATGTGCCACCTTGACATTTCCGTTCGCAACGACGCGGTTCAGGGTGTGGATAATGAATTCCTTGGAGAGAGAGAAGCTCTCCAGTCCGATACTTTCAGAGCTGTCCAGAACAAACACCAGCTCCACTGGGCCACACTTGCATTCTTCAATGGGCGTACGCACACAAGACATACACCCCCTTTTTAGCCAGATAGACTGTTGGGGAATATGTTGTTAATGAGCATGTATCAAGGTGGGCAAAGGACACAAGTGGCGGAGGTAGAGTTGCCACCTGTAAGGTATAAAAAATCAGGGAAGAAGGATATCTTACAATATCAGAAAATGGGAGAACTACACTTGAATACATCGTCTTGAGTGGTGTATTATTATTGTTACTATGCAACTGACAAAACTGGCACTTTAAATGTGCTGGGAAGACTTTACAGAGCTTCCAGGACAGCTACCCTCAACAAAAAGACAATCTTGAGAAAACCAGGGCAGGTGGCAACCCTATGAGGAGATGAAGCCAGCAAGACAAACGGCTTCCTTTGTCTCTCTAGTGCCGATGACAGCACCCTGCACGAGGTCGTGATTTGTGTATACCATCGCCTTATTGTTAATATGTAATTACACTTAGGGTTATTATGGAATGATAAAAAAATGCAATAGTAAGGTACTTACCACAACAAGTTGGACAAGATAAAAAAATATATTTTCAAATTAGTCATAAACAAGATACAGAACATTTAAACACTAATTTACGGCATTTAATTAAACACACCATACATTATTGTATTTGAAAAGTTTACCAGTCAAGTATTTTAAAATTATGTTTGGAAAACTTACAGCACATCTCTTTGATGATGTTCAACATGTCACATTCCTGTACATCAAAATAAGGCTTCATTATGAATATATATCATGGGTTTAGGTGTTTTTTTACTGGTCTTTTTGAATGAAGAATTCAGCAGACAGACATTATTGTGTGTAACAAAATAAATAAATTCGGATAGAGGAACGAAAAACTCAGGTCCAACTTTGGTGGTGCTGGTAGTCCTCTATCACCCTGAGAAATGTAAATATGAACGTATATACATTTTTAAATCATTTAACTTAATTTTTTAGTCATATTTACGATTTCTGAAAGTGTGTTTACTGTGCCACATGGACCAGAAGTGACTCACCAAGGGACCTTCAGGCCCCGGGTAGCCCATGGGCTCCATCATTCCCTGTTGTCCTGATTCCTCACCCTGAATACAAACATTAATTACCCACAGCAACATTAATAATACATATGCAGTCCGTTGTCCGTTCACTGATGGATGAAGACCTCCAGGCACTATATCGATCATGGATTTTTTTTGCCCATACTTCACCATGATGATCAGTGCAGGTTGGTGCAGGTAGGAGGCCCATGACCCCCGCTGAAGTAACCAGGAATCAAACTCTGGTTGCCAGGTTCAAAGTGAGTTGTGCGAACCACTGCACGACCACTCCAATAACATGGTAACAATCAACGCAAAAAAAACACATACACGATTTGCACTTTGTTACTTATTTTTTACTGTACATAACCAAGTGTCGCTCTTGTTTTATAAATGTACACACACAGCTTAAAAGGTTTGTTTGAAAAATTATTCATAAGTCGTGTTTGTGTTCATTGTTTAATCATAGTAGACGACGGATAGAGCTGAGTTTCAGCTGTGTCTGTCCGGGTCGGTGACCTGGAAAATATATACGCACTTAACACACCATATCCAGTATACCTCTCGCTATTGGTGGCTACGAGTCACGTGCCTACTCTAGGCGACCAGTGACCCAGAAAATACTGAGTGATAAATTAAGCCCTGGCGAGGGAGGGTTGTGTGAATCACTGAGGGAGGTGTGCAGTTGTTCTCACCGGGTCCCCCTCATCTCTAGGGTCACCTACGTCCCCCTGATGCCCAAGGAAGCCTTTGGGACCCTGTCAAGAGGAAGACCCAACAAAGTGGGGGAAGACCCTGCAGCTTGATTCACTTACACTCAATCACACGTGTTACCTTTGTCAGGGGAGTAATAGCTATTCCCGTTTACACAGTTGTGGAAAATGTGCAAATAAAATAATGTCATTTGCACTTTCTCACCTTTTCGCCAATTTCTCCCAATTCTCCCGTTGATCCCTGAAAAAAATAAAATGTATTCTTGTTAGAGTAATTTCACAAAAAAAAACCATTGAACTGATAATGATAAATCTTCTGTTCGAATAATTAAATGGAAGAGACTCAACTCACAGGAAAGCCAGCAGGCCCCATCAACCCCACAGCAGCAGTCCCATTTTCACCATTCCAATCTGTCCACCACCATCCGAGTTAAAGTTATTTCACAATCATATGATTCAACAGCAGCATAACAATCAGACCATGGGTTAACCTTACTATGTCTCCTGGTGGGCCTTTTGGTCCAAAGTCTCCCACAGGGCCTTGCAATCCCTTGGGTCCCTGCAGAAATGGAGGATATCTGAACACTGAAAAAGCTTTGCTAATATGGTGCTCATGTTGTTCTTAAACGATTTCGTTATTACTTGAAATATTGGTTCATTTATAATCTTTAACATCCTTAGCCCTCATCTTGAATTATATGTATTCATCAATGTCATCATATTGAATTAACAATAATAATGGCAGATTAGGTGACCAGATCATGGCTACTATAAATGCCACCATTTCTTATAATCATTGTGAATGTTTGGTGGTAATGTTCTTGCAAAGGGCACTGGACAGAAATCATGATGAGGGCACAATATTTGCATAGTTCCACAACCCATGTTTCTTTTGTTATTGCAAAAGCCATGAAGATATATATTTTTAAGTTGCGAGTGCAATTGTCCATATATACAGTAACTGTGACTTTTGAGTTGTTTATATAAATTTTTGGAAATATAAATGTAACAATGACCTCATCTCCTTGCGGTCCATCCTCTAACTTGAAGCCCTTCACTCCCTCTATGCCTGGTAGACCCTTGGGAGAAGAAAATATAAAATACAGAGTGTATAATTATGAGTTTCAGACATTTTTTTTAAAATCCAGCAATATATATTCATGGTGCAGATAGATGACAAATGTACATGTTTTGTTGGTCTACTGCTGGATGAAGGTCTCCCAATGCCATACGGGTCGTTGGGATTATTCGACCACACTCCACCATGCTGGTCAGCGTGGGTTTGCGAAGGCTGGGAGCATAGATGTCGCTGCATAGTACTGTATAAGTCAAATCATGTGCCGCAATGCCCTCTGCTGCCCACAATGTACGTTTCAGTATATTACTGAATGAGGAATTACTCAATTATTTATGCAGATAAATAACAAAACACTGCCAGTAAGGTACGGCATTGTATGCTTATGCCAGGCACTCAACGCACCAGCTGGCCAATGGATCCTGGAAGACCACAATGCCCATTTGGGCCCAGAGGCCCCTCTTCCCCCTGTAAAGGACACACAGCATCGAGAGTTGGCTTCAAACTGTGCAGGGGCACATCAGCCATATACTTTAATTAAGGATTCAGAAATGGCATTGGGAACACACAGACTATATGTATGCATAATGCTTCTTCACATGAAATTTTACGAATGAGGATTCGAGTACCAACCATCATAAAGCGATAGCAGCACTGAAAAAAACATTTACATGTACAGGCCTTTGTCAATCCACTGCTTGATAAGGGTCTCCCAACGCAGCGCAGGTAGCTGGGGTTATTTGCTGTCTGCTGCCCAGCACATAGCCCCGCAGCTCTGTGACAACCCGTTTGTGGATGGTGGTCACCCACCCTAGCCGTATCCAAGGTTAAATAAACCCTCACCGGTACTACTGCTCAACATCAAATGTTAGCAGCACTGCCAACATGCGTCTGTTAATTTAAAATATCTCAACAACTGGATTATGATGGAACTGCTGCGTTTCCAAAAATATAACGCGTGCGACGAGGTGGAACAAGGAGAGCCACAAGGCACTGATTTGTTACGTAATTAAAAATAACAAAAAACTCAACACATTTGTCAACACCGTCTCAAAAGGAAAATGTGTGACGTTTCGGGCAATGGCACTTCTTCATGATATAAAACTTTAATTTGAATTTTGAACATCTTTGACATAGCCCACTGGGTAAGATCTCAAGCTTTGGATATGTATGTATGTTGAACTTCTTTCACACTGTACTCGGAGGTGCGATTAGCACGGTTCACAACCTTCTATGAATGTCATGCCTTTATTTATTTTACACTCCTTGTATTTCTAGAGAATGATAATAATAGGTGGGAAATGAACCGCATAATGGAGCAATTTATTTTGATCTGACCAATTTATGGCCCGATCTTTCTGGATAAATAAAGTACACCACTGTATAGAGTTAAATGAATTTAGTTTATTTATTTATTATGCCGTCTCTTTTGCATCATGGGAGCCAACATTACACAAATGTAATCCAGGAAGCTGTTTGGATACAAGCATGATTCCAAGCCTGAACACACCTTGCTAATTATTGCAAAATTAGTAACACATGTGTACGAATAATTAACATATCATGCCTTGTGACCCGCGAATGAAGGTTTCGGCATGCTTAAGGAATTGGAGGCCTCGTGTGATTTGGTTAAGCCAGAGCCAGGTATCATATAAGGCAGCCGAAGGTGTTCAACCTACTTCGCTAGCAGTGCCTATGAAGTGTGGAGAGGAGCCAGCTATTGTTTGCAGGAGACAGTCCTCTCTCTATGCCATTGCCTTGAGCACTATTGTGACCAGCGCACTGTGGCAATATAATGAGGACATTTTGTACTCTCTCCAACACACCAAACGTATTTGTTGCAGATGTTTATTGAGATATCTTTGGCACGTAGGATTTTGCATTTGGATGCGTGGATGTGGAGCAACAGCTGCAGCACAGGAGCAGGTATAATCCTCTCGGTGCCCAGGCATCGTCCACACTGCTTTGCCGAGGCTGCTGCGTGGGTGATGTGGCATCAATGATCGAGTGGCCGGCAACACTGAATGTCGATAGGTGGTGGAAGCGCCACTGAGCACAGCGGAGGCCACCGTGAAGGTAACGCGCACTTACAGGACTCGTCGATGAGCTGCAATGAAGATTCAAGAAATCACCGAGAAACGGCAGCCGCGTAGGACAGGACTCGACCAAGAGGCTCTGGGAAGTTAATGGGCTGTGAAAAAGGCTAGGGTTTCCTAAACGGGGGGAGGCTCAATATTTGGCTCTGTGTGCGTTGGCATGTGGGTATGATGGGGAGCACTTGTACTGCATCTGCCAGTCATCTCAGTTAACCCTTAACACCTGAGTCTGTCCGGTGACCACCTGCCAGCGAGCCTGGGAAATGTCACATTCCCTCAATGCATCTAGCCTGATACAAGCTCCGTATTTGTATTACTGTAATTTAGTATTAAATGGCGGCTGTTGTGTTGGTTTTGTAGCGGTATAGACACGAACATTTTTACCCTGGGTTGTGTTGGCCTTCGTGGCATGTAGTGCTGTGGGCTGTTGTGACATACCATCATTACCGATGGGAATATGATAGCGTGACAGCTCATTTGACATGACCACAACTCTGTGCTATGGTTTTAATCTATGTCGAGACGGACGCAGATTTGAGACGTCAAACCGAGGCCGTAGCCATGGAATCAACATGGGGGGGGGGGACCAAATCTTCCAGGGGGTCTGGGGGTCCCTCCCACAGAAAAAAAAATCAAAATTTGAAATAATTTTCCTGCCTAAAATATACAAAAAATCACCTACACAGGATGGATTATTTATTTATTTTTTACAATAATGTCTAATAGTGTATTGTATTACATTGCTCTGTTTTTTTTCTTTTTTACCTTTTCTTGTTTCATTGTATGTTATGGCAGAGATTAGGGATTCATAAAGTACAACCATAACCACAATCGTAAATACAGAAATATATTTTAGAGCAATATATTTGGGGGGGACATTATGAGCATATTTGAATATTGGGGGGGGGGATGTGTCCAATATATATTATAATTACGGTCTTGCGTCAAACATCCATGTTGACGCTCCGCTGCTCATGAACGCGTGGACATCGCAGCGGCGACGTCGTTCGGAATGAGTTACCTTGTCGCCTGATACCCCTCGAATCCATGGGACTCCCCGTCCCCCCTGCTCCCCCTTTGTGCCCTGAAAGCAGAGATCAACAACCGTATGATGACGCGCACGAACACCAATATACCGGCACCACTCGGAGCATTTGTGTAGAATAAGTTCCCTTCGGCTTTGATGTTGAACGTAAAAAAATGGAAAGTACGTGGTACATTTTGATTTAAAGCTTTCGTGACTGCAGTAATTCATATTTTTAGCTCTTTCGGTAATGTCACGTTGAAGGGAAACAAGAAAATAATAAAATATATTTATATATTTTATATAAATATATTTAATATATATAAATTATGGCTGCAGAGAAACGTATATTTTATTATTTTATTGTTTCCCTTCAACGTGACTTTACCAAGAGAGCTAAGAATATAATAGTATATGGTACGTTCAATATTCAGTCTGAAAATTACATTAACGTACTTCCACAAATAAAATATATTTTTTTACATTTGATCCTGCATCGCCAGGAAGTCCAATATCTCCCTGAAAGATAAAAGAGAGAAAGACAAATTAATACTATTTCATGACAATGTTTGAGGATAAAGCAAATGACTGCAATTGAATTCTGTGTCAGGTTTTTAGATACAAATGTATCTGTTTCTAAAAAAACATTTTAAATGATTTTTACACACTTCTTCTCCCTCATCTCCTTTGGTACCATTATGACCTTGCAGTCCTTCATTGCCCTACAATAGGAACAATAAAGGGGGGCGGGGGAGGTGGGGGAAGAAAGAAGAAAAAACAACTTACAAAGTTGAAATTAAATTGCCAAACATGCCTGTGGTGTGTTCCTACAAAAAACAATAAACCCCAGGTGAAATGGGGCTATAATATCAGCAAGCGGTGCAGCTGCACTAATCATCACTTGCCACACAGCCGGTTAGGCGATGTTGTTAATGGTCACAAGCTGCTTGCCTTCATTCCTGGTGGTCCAGGGCTTCCAATGGGACCTCTCATTCCTTCAACGCCTGGTTCCCCCTAAGATGAAAACATGGAGGGTTTTTACCTTCAGCGTTTCACAAGAGCAACATGCTACCGTTTGTTAAACGCTGCCACGTAATTATGGCTGCAGAGAAACGTGTATGTTTTATTTAAGTAATCATGAAAGTGGGTATACTATACTCGCCATCCAGAATTCACCGGTTCGATTAAATTTCCCGGCGCAGCAGTTGAAACAATGGGGCAAGTTTCTTTAGTATCCGCATCACCGAACCCCCCTGCTTCTGTCCACTCAGCAGGATAATTGGGTACCACCACAGTAAGTCGATAGGCAGGTCGCGTCTGGTGGGGTAAAGTGTGCTTACTCGCGCATCTTCCAAAACTTATATGTCCAGCGTGGAAGAGTAGGCCAACTCCGCTCTCCAGAAAAGGACTCTATTGAGCTCCTTCTCGTCGAGGTTCTTCTGCTGGTAGTGACGTGACCAAGTAATTGCAGGGCTGTACCTTTGCCTTCTACCAATATATATAGCTTGAATAGATACCTTGTTTCCTTTTTCTCCAGGAGGCCCAGGGTCTCCATTTACCCCTGGTTTGCCTGTACCTCCCTACAAGCAAAATAGTAAAGGAACAACCCCCCCCCCCCCCAACAAATTCAAAACTTTAACAAACAAAGAAATGAACATAACATACATTTTACAAAGTAAACACATTTGAATGTGTTAAGACATTCCTATGTGTGAGTTGTATCTCACAGGGACGCCGTGGACGCCGTTGCTTCCAGGTAACCCAGGATATCCAGCATCTCCCTGTAACAGCGAGAGTCATTGTCACTATCACGAGCGACCCCTCTCCACAACAGTACAGACGCCAATAGGTGCCAGGCAGGGCTTACATTTCTCATGGAATATATTCTGGGGCTGAAAGTCCCCTGGACCCTGCCCATCCCACCCCTCCCTCCCACATTGGTCAGCGCAGGTTGGTGAAGGTGGGGAGCATAGTGGCAGCATAGAGGTACAGAACAATAATGGATTTTTTTTCTGCACTGCCCACTGCTGCCCAACACGTAGCCCAACAAGCCTCATACGTGACTATAGATTATATTGGAGCATAAAAAAAATAGTGCTCATCCAACAAAAGCAGGAAAATGATAAATGACCGCCTGACATTCACCTTCATTCCATCCAGCCCGTCGGTCCCAGCGTCTCCTTTTCTCCCCTAATGGGCAACAAAACAGATCGATATTAATAAATGAAGAATCAAAATGACCACGTTCTATCCCGTTTTTCATTCTGCTGTGTGGACACATCGTTGCAATTCTCATTTACATTTTCAATAGTGTCAGTTTAATCATTATTTATATTTAATGACGCATTGCCAAAGCTGATGAATTGGCAAGGATTTGAGGTGAAAATCATTTTGGGATAAAAAGGCTACCTGATATGTTTTAATGTTGTTTTTTTAATCCAATTCTATTCAGCAGTAGAAATCACATTGCTCCATTGTGCAGCTGCCCAATTGGTTATGTGTTATTCATGCTGTGTCATGATACGGGTGCATTGTTGAAACTGGACGAGAATGACGCACTGACCTTTATACCAGGGCGCCGTCCCCCCCCCCCCCCTGTAATAGCACAACTCACATTACCATCATCGCACAGTACTTGCTCCAAGTGCTCGTCAAACAGTCGTGCCAATACAAGGCCGCTTCGTCGTTTTAATTGAACCACCAATAACCAATATTATATGTACACTGCATAAAGTAACATTGTCTGCAAAGAGTAATCTACTTTGGGCAGACCATAAAAACATTGCCCTTCAGAAGATAAGTTCCCCTTCATCACAGGTCATGAATATCGTTTTTTTACTTAACATTTTTCACGGACAAAAATGAAAGAGTGGAATCTGATCAGTTAATCGTGAAACGATGAAGGCATCGCAATACATAGTACTAAATACCACATACAGCACAGCTTTGTGCAACTGTACATTCTTATCTGTCATATCAAAAATATATATTAAACCTCAGAGCATTGGAACAAAATGTACTTGTACCAACCCAATACATGCAATTCATTTTTGTTTAATAAGGTGAACAAAGTACTTTTTATACGCTTGCAATATTGATAAATTAGTAATCCTGCTCATGCAATACTTGGCCAGAAGTACCTTATGACCTCGAATTCCACGTTCTCCCTGGGAAATAAACAAAACAAATTATGATTGCTTCATTTACAGGGTTATTTAATCTACCAAATTAAATGTGTGTCAATTTATTTACATATTCCATATTTTATTTAATGGAGAACTGCCCGCAAAAGGATCGACCATGGGAATTCTCCTGATATCCCTTCAGGTGACCTTGATTATAACTTAAAAAACACAGGCGCGCAGTGCTCAGTATTTACACTGCCTTAAAATAAAATAAATACAACAGGCGTCTCTAAAAATGGCCCTTCTTCATCACACCACTAAAGGCGAATTTGTTGGGTTTCTTTGTTAACTGTTTGTGCACCAATGCCAATGTAGCATCGCCCAGAATGTTATTTTATCACTAGAGGGCACTGCACCGTGGCACATGCTTTGCGACATAGAAATGTTTGACACGTGTCAGTAGGAATATATTTTAGAATGCACGGCATAATTTAGCCAAATTAAATGAAAACCTCAATATATTGTGATGGGTTTGTTGTGTGTGTGCACCACACCCACACCTCAGATTAGCAAAGTTGGCTAAGTACGCTGTGAAAGAAGTTCAACATACATACATATACGGCAGTGTCTTGCGATGTTTGAATCCAGCATCTTAGCAGTGCCGGCTCAATCATGTTATGCCTGAGTCACTCAGCCCCCTTGTGTTAATTTTAGTCACTAACAGTTCATCATGAACCATGATCAATCCACAACTGAGTGAAGCCCTTCCTAAGCTGTCACCATATATTCATATTCTTAGCTCTTTCGGTAAAGCTAAGGATATTAATTACTACAGTCACGAAAGCTTTAAATCAAAATCTGTCACCATATGTTATGGGCATGTTTTTTTTAATAATGTGCATAGCCCATAATAGAGGTTTTTTTATGGGTTAGATCACGTAAATATATAAATGTGTCGTTAAAACCCGCCATCACAAACCCGACACATTTGTATATTTATGCAATCTAACCCCAAAAAAACCCTCTATTATGAATGATATTGGTCGCGAAAGCCCACGTGTTAAAATGTGCCTAGTATCTGGGCACAAGTTAATTTTGTCACGCCGTATTTTGGCTGGAAGTCCTCTCGGATGCATTCCCTCCCTTGACTGCCACTCCATCATTATTCTCGATCACCCGCCATCGTCCCTTCTCTTCAAGTGTTCTTAACAAGCCCACTTTATACATATTCAACACAAAATGAGCTATAGGTGACTATCATTTACATATACTAAGTATTTTTTTTGTAACGTATAAAAGTCAGAGAAAAAAATGCAAAACTCTAGTTGGTCAACTATTTCTGTTGGCAGATATTTTTTTTTAGATTTGATGCTTTCGTGACTGCAAGGATTCAATTGAGCAACCATTGGAAAGATGTTATCAACCAAGTCAAACTTTAGCTGCCTTATAATTGTACAGCCATTTCCATTTCTACCAGTGGGTTGTACTCGCTCTCGTGCAGCGTGCAGAGCGCCACCGCTTCCCCCGAACCCCCTGCAGCATAACAAAAGGCGGCTTAACTTAGCCCTCCCCCCCCACCCTTAACCTGTATATAATCTCGGGTGTCTCAGAGCTCTTCACTTGATACAGCTATTTTGCTGTGACTGTTCCACCTGAAGACGGAAGCTTGTGTTGCCTCCGAAACGTCGTGATTTAATTCAGTTGTTTTCATTTGTTTTATTTTACCTACGTCGTGACTTTACCGAAACAACCAAAGAGTATAGATATTTTCTTGTGCGGAAAATATAAAAACTTCGATCGGATCAGCTCAGCCTTTGGACAAGATCGCTGCAGCTGCCCTATGCCTGCAGATCTCATCGAACGGACGACACTGTGACCGTAGCAAGCGAGAGAAGGCCGTCTGCGAGCGTGAGTCTTACCTTCTCACCCTGGGAACCCTGGGGTCCATCTTCGCCTGGGATTCCCTGCAAAAGACATGCCCTCTTGATGAGATGGGTGTGTGTGAATCCAAACTGGTCTCACGACAGTGGCACTATGTGTAGGTGTGGAACAGAATAATCTTGATCAAAGAATGTCGGTTGATTTGTGGCTCTTTGTAACACACGCATGCAGTGTATATGAATCAACACGGACACGGGCAAATTGTAGCATTTATCACTCAATTTTCAGCCCATTGTCAATACAACCCAGCCTGTTGCCTATGATGAAATCGCTCAACAGGGATCGGATCTCATTGATTTGAGAAGCTAAATAGGGTTGAGCCCGATTAGTACTTGGATTGAAAACTGTATGGGATTACCAGTTGTTGTCGGCTTGGGCTGGTAAATGACTGGAAGATGGCAGGATAACAACACATTTTTAAATGTAACTGTGCAGGTCTTGGAAGTGTTTTACCTTTGCATGTTTGTGATTAATCTAGATACTCTAGATTCCTCCCACATGCTAAACACTCATGAAAATGCAGCAGGATCCTACTAAACATTGTAAGACTTGGTGAGGCTTTCCTGAGTAGAGGGCATTATTGTTGTTATTATAATGAACAAGATGTCTACACTTTGAACATAACTCACCTTCTGTCCCATGACACCAGAAACTCCGAGAGGACCTCTTTGCCCATCAATTCCCTGAAACGGTTTTGAGTAAAGTGAGATTTACGGTTGAAAAACCAATGATAAAGACCGCAAAATAAGCCGTCCATTTACACGCACACTATTTTCATTGAGCAGTGTAAGGTCAAGCGATGGGTGAATTGATCTTACAGGCTCCCCGATGCCTCCACGTATCCCAATCTCCCCACGTGGAGGCTGTCGATGACAAAAATGAAAATTACTTTTACGGATGACAAGGGATTCGAAACGTGTTCAAAAATATAAATTACCATGAACCGTAACATTCATCTTGCTGTACATATGTTATAGTAGCATGCTTTAAAACATTACATAAATTGTCCACACAGATTACATGTGATAATTATATTTTCCTCCCGACGAACAACACTAACTTGTCAGGAGGACATGCTCTGTGTGTTTATGGTTTTTAATAGAAAGGTACGCACCTCACATTCAAATGAGCAACACTGTTGGGAAGAGAATAACGACATTAAGATTTAATTTAGAGCACTCTTTGCTAAGTGTGATTTTTTTAAGTAATATGAAAATATAAACTTAGGTAATTTATTTTTCTCCTTACACATAGCCTCCATATCTTCGTACTAAAAAGGAAGAGAGAAAACATGTATTGACAATTTTGCAATGAAGCCATGTAATGTGTGGGTTGCTTCTGAATCCAGCTCTCGTCGTGTTTTGGTGCTCAGCTGATAGACTGCGCACGGATCTCGTGTATCAGGTCGGCCTCCCTTACGATGATGTCCACGATCTCTTCTATTGTCTTCACATTCTCGGACTCTCTGCTGCTTGTGGCTGTGAAGTTGCTCCTGTACCTGGGCCCCGACACGATGGCACTCAGCCGCTCCTCCTATTCGGGTGGCATCCAACAAAGGTATACATGGACCTGTGTTTATATATTTGGGCAATGTACATGTACGAGGTGCTGTACGATTTTTTTTTATTTCCCCTTCATGATAGCCCTGTGCTATAATAAATGTCTTTCGCACCATTTATTATAGCACGTAGCTATCACAAAGGCACGACGTTTCACAGGCTTTTTTTACCTGCAGTAGTTTTACAACAGGGAGTTAAATTTGCCATGCGACTTTACCCAATTTGGTAATTTACAAATACATTTTCAACCTTCCTTGTGATTATATATTTATAATATATTTTCGAATGAGTTTTCCTGTGTGGGCTCTGGCCAACCTGGTGGCCAGGAGAGATGGCGACAGCGAAGAGCTTGATGCCTTGGTCCTTGGCCATCGTGGCCGCGTGGTCAAGGCCCCCGCATGGCTCCCGGTATCCGTCCAGCGGGTGCCCATCCATCACCACCACCACCAGAAACTGACCGCTCTGTCCCTCGTCACGGCTGTGCCGGGTACACCAAAATTTAATGCCAAAAAAGTTTATTTGGATGACAGTGAGTGCTGTTTAATGACAATAATGCCGGGGTGTTTTGTTTTCTTCCATTTCCATTAAAATTGTTGCTATTGGCGTCAGGTCATAGGATGTTTCTCTTAGGAACTCGTGCAGAGTGGTGCATCATGCCACATGTTGGAGAATAGTCTGTGGAAGCAGAAATCATATAACTATTTCTGAGAGTTGATTCAAGAAACCTCTTGTATCAACATTTTAACAGTGTATTTTCCCACATGCTGTGCATTGATTCGTGTTATTTGCATGGCAATTACATTGAAAACAATTTTTTTTTGAATTGCTTTTTGTGTTTAGTTTATCCTTCCCACACCTCCGATTAGCACAGTTGGCTACGTACGTTACGAAATAAGTTCTATATAAATACAAAGCAATGTTTCGAATTCTCAGAGTTATATTGGCAACATATTATTTTGTGCAGTTAGATCGAGAACCTGAACTCTCTACGCATGAGAACGTGGTTAAATCATGGATGTCTGCACATATTTAAATTTCAGGGATTTCAGCAGTGCTGGCTCAGTATTCTGATCCCTGAGCCACATCAAGTGGAGATTTATTTTTGTTAACTCATTACAGCATTACTATGCGATGTGGAACGCGAAAATGGGCACAAAGGGGACACTGGATCTCTCAGACTCGTACAGATGCACACTTGCGTTTTGGTGGCATTAACGGTACAAGAGCAAGCAAGCAAGCAAGCGGGAGCTTAAAGGTCTTTTGCTGGCACAGACCTGAGCATGAGCTGCTGGCTCGCTGTGGACAGAGCACAGTCGGTGTTAGTGCCCCGCCCGATGTAGGTGGTGGTAGCGAGGTAAGACAGCAGCTGCGAGAGGTGCGCTGGTAGCGCAGCGAGCTCGCTGATGACGTGCACCTCGTCGCTGTACTACAGCGTGCCCACGCTCCACGTGAGGATGCGGTCGCACGGGTACGTTCTGCCAGGGAGAGGATGGGTTGCTCAAGGAGGCTCGCTTGCAAATTGGACAGCTTCACAGTCAAAATTTCCATAACATCATCAGCATAATACGCATAGGGTGTAATTTTGAAGCGAATTTATACAATGTCCAATGTCATCGGTTTGCCTCAAACATCATCTCAGCATGAATGAAAAAGTTGGCTTATGTACAAGTTTCAAATGTATTTTGTATAAGCAGGTGATAATTCATATGATCAGAAGAGTCTCATTTTCGAGAGTGACCTGGGTCATTAGGCTGTCAGTAACGGACGATGATTTCTACGTATAATTCCTCTTGAGCAATTTGCAGACAATTTTCGAAATTGGAGATGATGGACCCTGATGTCGACACACCATAAAACAGACAGAGTGTGGTGTTCGGGTTATTCTACCCATCGTAATAATCAGGAGAGTCACTGGATTCCAGAAGGGAACCTCTGCAATTAGTGTCAAATGCGCTACCGGTGGGCCACGGTCACATCACTGAATCTGACACCACGGTATTTTATGAGCGTTTGTATCTGAATTACCAACCTCAACTGGTTGCCCAACTATGCCCGTCTAAAACACCATTTTGGGTTAAAGTCATGATCATCCACACCTTTTACATTTCCTGAAATGTATGGCCAATATTGGAAGAGCCAATAAACAGTGCACACCTGTTTCTGAGGGTCTCGATAAACTTGGCCGCAAGGCTCTTGCTCTTTTCCACCAGATGACCGGAGGGCATTACACGCAGCGCCACGCTCTCCGAGGTGTCCAGAGCCAGCAGCACATGGGCAGGGCATTCTGTGGTCGAAACATGTCAGTTTAACTAAATTCAAATTACATTTAATAACCCATCCTGGCAAACGTATGCTACCTTGGTGTAATATCTAGCACACTTAAAATTGGCAACTTTCTTAACCCCCCACCCCCCTTCTCCACCTCCGGTCTCCAAACAGTATAAATTGGGAGGCCAATGTTTGTCAACCTACAGGCTGCATGTGGTGGGGTAGTGTGGGTGCTCCAACCAATTGCAAGACGCTTGGCCACCATGGAAGAATAGGCCAAAATGCCATTGAGGGGCTGCCTACAACTTCCTCGAGCAGAGGCAAGTCTACCAGCAGGGCATGGGCAAAGTAATTGCACAGCTGCACCCTGACCTTTAACCACCGACGTGACCTGTAATAATGGAAACAAAACGCTGGCTGTGTGATGGGTTGACAGCAGCGTGGGTAAAAAGTCACATTTTGCAGTCTGTGCTCACCGACAGGGATGGACCTCACCGGCAGGGAGTGGCCAGGAGGATGAGCCAGGATGCCCGATGGCCCCAGAGACAGCAGAAGGAATCGTACCCACACAGCAAACATCGGCAGCGGCAGTCGGAACATCCACTCCTACGTGCCCTTCCTGCAGCAGCATCAGCAGAGTACACGACGCCACAGTGTTCGTACAACAAAGCCCCCTTGTGCTCACACTGGCCCAGACCGATTACATTAACATTTTGTTTCAAAATAAATGCAATGCTTGGATTATCTGACCTGCGGTCATGAATGACAACAAGAAGTTCAAAGAAGGTGTGCTGACAGACAATGAGTCCACAGGGATTGTTGAGAAGGCTGAGTTTGAGTTTATTTGATTCGTTGCACGGATGATTTCGTTTAGCCGGTTTCCCGGCTTTATTACAAGGGAGATCTCTAGTGCGTAAACACACCACTAACAACAGAACAAAGACAAAAACATCACTATTGCAGAGAACGAGTACAGAATCCTTAGGGAATATTGATGGGACGTAAGGTAGTGTATGCAGGAGATATACTTAGAGGGTCGTCTAAAAATGTAATGAAGATGATTCCGCAAGGGGAAATGGAGAGCAAGAGCAAGGAACCCGATCAGTTGGTGGGACAATGTGAGCATTTGGATGGCACTTTCCATGAGAGACCCCAATTGTTGCAAAAGATAGAGCACTGGCATTTGCCGCTCCGTAATGAGACATCGTTGCTTGTACGCATTTGACTGGCCAACATTAACCATTGACTTGCGTAAGGAATTAAGAGTGGCGTTGGACAATAACTCTTGTTTTAGAGGACTAGTTTCTACAGTTAAGGCAAACAGCACAATGCGTGTTTGTAACGAAATGAATCTGTTTAACACGTAGGCTTTCGCGACCGATATGACCCATAATGCAGGTGTTTTGGGTTAGATCGCGTAAATATATAAATGTGTCATAAAACACACAAATCTGGCTGTCGCCTGATGAAGCTAGTTGTAATTACTGGCGAAACGTCGTACTCAGATTGTAAATGTTGTGGCTTGGCTCTCCAACACACCGGTGTGCTGTACCCATAACGAATTGGCCACGTTCTGTTTACGTGACAACCCTTACTAGTTGGCTTTGTCGGGTGGTGGCGGGTTTAACAACACATTTATATATTTACGCGATCTAACCCAAAAACCTGTATTATGGAAAATAATATGAACTCCCTTTAGATTCCCTACTTGTAAACGTCCGCTCAGCCTGCGTCACCCGATAGCAGTGAATGCGCCCTCTGCTGTATAACAATAACAAAGCATGCACCAAACAAGGCATATGCATTGACAGCCAAGTATTGAGGATACGTTAGCAGCGCACACGTACACGTAACACAACTCAACACATTCGTCAATAACACTGTGGCCTTAAAAGGAACAGATATAAGACGCCGATTTAGGCGGTTGTCCTTCATAGTACATACATGGAGAAGTCAGAGATTGTTTTTTTATCAAGCCCAGAGTGCAGTCTCCAACTCTTACCCACGCTGAGCTCTCGAGCCTCTTATGTATGTGCGATGAATAATGGTCATTGCCTGAAACGTCGACTGTTATACATTTTTCCTTTTAAGGCCAGTGTTATTGACAAATGTTTTGGCATTAAAAGCAGCTTAGCTAACTACTGTATATCATATAAAAAATAAGGGGAAACAGCCGATATGTATAAGGCCGCAGCTAATGTAGAACAGGACAAGCTGTTGTGGTACACAAGTAATACAAGCAAACACAAAATCATGAACGACATTCACATCTGTACAACTTACATTTTACCTCGGGGTAGAGAAGCACACAGCACGGTCCCTACAACGTAACAGTGTCTGAGATAGGAACCCTGCAGAGGTGCACGGATGAATGTGGATGTCATAAGCTCAGTTGGTCATGGTCAAACATGCGGCAATGATGGTGAAATATAATACCGTTCCAGGGTTCCTCATAGGCTGACACAAGTTTCTGTTAAAATGCTGGGCGGGAAGAAATGTTGAACATCTAATAGATATCATACATATGTTTTAAATAGTGGCACGGCTTGGGCTCTTGAGCTCTTACATCTGGGCGAATCCACTAACGGGATATTAATGGTTTGTAGGCACTTAAAGATTACACGAAAATGATGTGAAATGTGCAATTGCTTGTGCACGTCTATGCTGGCTTAGAATTATAGTGAAAGAATGTGAGACATCTCAGCATTGTATAGGAATGAAGTCAGTCGTGTGAATTTAAAACTACGTATTTTTCTCAAAATTATGCAATGATTCCAAATTAATGTTTGCTAAAATAGTGTGCATATAAATAATTGTTTTATCACCAGTCTTGCCCCAGGGCTACCATCCCTTCGACAACGCCTCCGCTCAATATTTTTCCAAGCGAACAAAATGTCTATAACCTGAATTTGTTCTCGGGTCCCCTTTTTCCCCTCCGTGTACAATAACTCCCAGCATGCATCTCTTATCCGCTCATTTGTATTCGTTTTAGTTTGGTTACATTCGATTTGGCAGTGTCCACGTTTATGATTGAACACGTTCCCTTTACGCACATTGGTATGTTGCTTTTCATTGTGAAAAATCGATATTACAAAAGCACTCCAACCTGCTGGCTTACCTATGTTATCACATTCATCCTGGTCCACCATCAATAGCCCTAGATATGCATATCTTGTTGTGTTTTTCCACTTGTATCTTCAATTTCATGCTCAGAAAACCTGTATATGCATTTTGTTTCGCTCACATTTATCTTTGCAGACTTTTTTGTACAGTTATTCAATAATTCCACGTAATGAATTGCCATCGATTGTAATAAAGACCGATATGAGCAAATCGTATGGCTAATCTTGACCCATGTATGGTCATATGCTTAGTTCTCCAATCCAGTTTTCGGAATATTTAGAAATACCCTATTTTGTAATGATTAAGTGCTCAATATACAGTATGTGTAAACGCACACACTTTTTTCACGCTGAGATTGTTTGAAAGCTGACCGCACTTTAAACTTCACATCTTTCTACGGTTATGAGAAACAGCCTTGGGCCACCTGCCATCACTTTACGAGTACTGTATTGATCACATTGAATGATTATAGCTTAAGTTCTGTACATTAAGAATAATTATAATGCAAAGAATGCAGTTATGGTGGACATCACTATCAGGGAGGTTTTTTGTCATCATAACAGTTGGTGTATGACCATGCCTATTTAACCTGTATTTAGAAAAAAAATATACGTCAGATGCCCTTGTGTCATTTGGAGAAAGAAAGGTCTTCAATCTTATTTTCAGATGACAGATGTGATTGTCAGGTCAGCAGAACTGACAGACATAATTTGTAGACTTTATAGGGCGGCTACATAATACGGAATTTAAATTGACGGCAAGAACACCAAAGTGGTGATTACTGGGAAAAGTGATGACATGGCAGGGCAGGACATACGTGTAAAGGGAGAAAAACTGCAAACAATGAGCTCTTAAATATCTTGAGGCAAACATGACAGAAAACAGATCAGAGAACGAGATTGATGAGATTGGCCAGTACAACAGCAATGTTAATAAAATAAGGGTATTATGTAAAAAATGAATCAAACTGTAAACAATAAGATTGCACTCCTTGGTTCTTTCGGTAAAGTCACGTAGAAACACAAGCAACCGGTACAAATGAATGAGAAAACAAACCTCAAACTTGGAAATATAATGCAATACAACACAGAGAGTCGGCCAACACAACAGTCAACACTCCACCTGGTTGATTACATTCTTCCAATGATTGCTCAATTTTAGAGAGAGACAAAACATAGACATGGAGACAGACAGACACACAAGCAGAGAGAGACTCACACACATAGGCACACAGAAAGACGTCTCTGTGTCGAGGCCTTAAATAGAGAGAGGAGGGGGGGGGGCAGAGGGGGAGTTGTGTGGAATTCCTGCCCATAGCGGCCAGAGGAGATAATGGACTTATAAACAAGCACGGTTGAAAGCAAATTTAGTAAAATTAGGAAGTGTAATGCAATGCAACACAGAGAGTCGGTTAGCACACAGTTAACGCTTAGCCTGGTTGATTACGTTCTTCCAACGATTGTTAAATTGGAAGTTAAGTGTGAAACAAACAAGCACGGCAAACCCTCCCCGTAGAGGTGGTTCAAACTAGATTCGAAGCTTACTACGTGGGTGTCTCTCTGGAAATATAATGCAATACAACACAACACATAGTAGTAGTGTGTGTCTCTCTATTTGTCTCTGTGTGAGTCTCTCTCTGCTTGTCTGTGTCTCCGTGTCTTTGTTTTGTCTCTCTCTAAAATATAGCAATCTTTGATTAACGTAATCAACCAGGTGGGGTGTTGACTGTTGTGTTGGCCGACTCTGTGTTGTATTGCATTATATCTCCAAGTTAACTATGTTTGTTTTCTCATTCATTTGTACCTGATGATGGTTTCTTGTGTTGCAATCGAAACGTCGTATTCTATTATTATTTAATTTATTTCTACGTGACTTTGCCGAAAGAACCAAAGAGTAATTCCTGCAGTCACGAAAGCTTCGAATCTAATGCAGCTTTTTCTTTATCTCTAAATCTTGAAATGAAGAGACACCAAGAAGCGTATCCAAGTGATTAGGATGTGGTGCTTTATAAGACGGCTTCGAATTCCGTACTCTGCCCATCAATACAAACGATTAAATCCATGGAGGGGACTCAAACTATCGGGGGACATGACCAACTACTTTGCAGTAGCAAAAATAATACAGCCGCAATGGTTTGGCAATGTCACTCAAAGATCAGAATTTTTTTTCTAACACCATCCTGCGAGACCAAGCTGAAAAAATTCGAGACCGGTCAGCCAACGAGCAGATGGATGACAAACATAGCACCTTGGATAAGGAGATCAGCGGCCGACATTGTGCAGATCGCAGAAAAAAAAACCCACAAGGTGGAGAGTTGATTGCCAAAGCGTCACCGGTACCCACATGACCCCCACGACCCCCACGTTTTTGAGACTAATGATGATTATAGATCAAGCAGAAACGACGTCCTGTACTTAAGGGAGACTTCTCTCAACACAGATTGGTGGAACCATTTTCTATTACAAAATCATACCTACACAAGGTAAATAGGTGCAATTGGCAGCTTTTTGGCGAGTGCGAATACGCCGATAACCAGGCTACATTTCTCATTTAATATTTTCTGCGTCGCTGGTAGGCCGCAAATGGCACGTGGCTAACAGCCACGGACATAGTTCGAGGTATATTGTATTTGACGTGCAAAGTGCAGAATGCTATTTGGGGGTCGCCCCATCTATAACCTTTAAAAGGTCTCATCCCGAAATGTTTTCAGAGAACAGAATGGCCCACTTATATTGTTTGTATGAAACGTGTCCTGTTAACGCTCTCCTCTTCAAACAAATGTAAACATTTAGACTTACGAAGACACAAGTTGGACACAAATACAAAGAAAACCAAAGTATTATTTGTGACAGTACAGTATTTAATGTGTATTGGCACATTAGTTTGCCCCAATCAAGCTTTAAGCACAGGCATTTTCTAGTTCACACACTCACGGACAAGAAACAAGACATGGACAATTTATGTCACGGTTGCTATATTGGTACATATTTCAGTTTAACGTCGATATGGCAGTCAGTTGTTACACATAAACAACGATGTAAATTAGTGTTAAACTTTTTAAATCACAATATTAAAAGCTGAGTGTTAACCTTTTAAATGACAATATTAAAAGCAGCTTTGTTTGGATATGTGTAGTATCAGTGTTTTAAAGAAGCAAATGATCACATTTATGTAGTGTACTGCATACTATACACAATACAAACTACAATATGATTACACAAATGGCAAAGGGATCTGTAAATACGACAGTTAATGAACATAGCAGTAGTTGGTGCCATGCAGTACAAGGGAATCATGTAAACCGAGTTCACCAAACTACTGTTTTTTCCCTGCAGTGCACAGCATTATACTCCAAATAATATTCTCCATTTCACAATGTGGACAACTTCACATTACACGATCTATACGTTACATAATTTACGCACTAACATGTATTCCTTGATCACCATGGTGACACTACAGCACACCAACAGGTTGAAGACAAAACTATAAAAAATTATATTATAAACACTGTAACTCACAAGGTACACTGTATCGTAGCACTTGTTTAATGTCAGAATGTTCGCGAAGATTTTAATTGTTACTAAAACCTCACAATAGTTCCTTGCGCAAAACTGTACTCGCACGAAAGGTTATTTGATGCGTTTAATATTCAGATTGGCGAGTGGAAGAGTTAAAATTGGTAAGCGTGCAATGTTGCACGAAACTTTGGCACAAACATATTTATGTCAGACGTCACAGGAAAAGGCTTGACAATACACTTTAGACTGCTGCAGCGCTTGTTAAGCACCAGGACTTTCACATGGTCATGTGTTCAGGCAGCACGTAGGAGATATCGTCCCAGGGGTGGCGGTACAGTCCTTGCTTCATCCTCTTCTGATCCAGAAAGTGACCTAAGTCACAACAAAAACAAAACATTTTCAATAAAGTAGTTTTGTGCTGCCATTTTTGTCAAGTTATCTACAATGTATATCTCATTAGAAATTTTACACAAAGCTATGCAACACTATTGAACGAACTAAATATTATTTAACAAAAACTGTAATAACGCTTTGATGAAGACATTACCAATGAATCCCATGCTTCTGCCCAACACAAAGATTCCATTGAGAGCACCGATTTCCACGTATTCATCGGCCTCTTCCCTACAACGAGAGAGATCATGAACCACAACATGCCAAATCAAGATAAAAACATTTAAAACAAAATTAACTTTCAACCACTGCTGGTATATAAAAGTACCACACTATGAATGACATTAAAACAAATGGAAAAACAATTGGCTAACAAAACAGGTGTGTAAAACAGAATGCAAGGGGCTGTCTTAGAAAAACGTAGAATGAGATGTTAAGGATGAGAGTGGAGAGTGGTGGAGGAATAGAATAGATGGGAGGATAAATTAAGCAGAAGCTTTCTACATCATCCAACCAGGTGGACTGGAGCACAGGAAGGACGACTAAGAATTACATTTTTATGAATTGCACTTCTATGCACAATATTTTACGTTCATGGTTTAGTACAGAGCCCCATGTTTGCAGATTTACCTTGTGAAGCTGTCACAGTTCCTCAACAGGTCGACAAAGACTACACCGATGAGACCATCCACATTCAGGATCAGGTTTGGTTTCTGCAGGGTGAAGACACAATTATGGATCATGTCGTTAATAAAAAATATACGACTTACGGCATGTGGTAAAACACATTAATGTAAACTTATTAAAATAATGCATTGTTACTATAACTTAGAGTTTCTACATTTCAGAGTTACTTCCAAATGAACACCTGACACAAGTGCCACCACTACTGCTGCTACTCGCTATTGGTGCACAGCAGTGGAGACGAGAAAGGAGCGCTGGTAGCAGAAGTGGCGGAGACTCACCTTAGATGTCGTTATCTTTTCCACCTGCAGGGCGTAGTCCAACAGCGGCGTAGCCGGGAAGTGCTGCTGCGCGAACTCCTTCAGGATTTGAACTCGTGTGTCTGGGTTATTGATCTGAAAAAAATATTCATCAAATTATGAAAATAAAGTGCTTGCATGTATTAGACAAATAACTGAAATACTATACAGCAAATGTAATATTGTAGAACCAAAAATGATGTTGACAAAGTGCTTACAGATTTGACACGGTGGCCAATGCCCATGATGAGTTGTCCTTCCTTCTTCATTTTATTGACAAACTCCATGGGGATGAGGCCACTGTCAAATGCGTGGCTGAACTGCTTAGCTGCTGCGTCAAGTGCCCCTCCAAACCGGTCACCCTGTCAGACACAGGATGTGTGCACCACACCATTTATCAGCATTATTTTCTAACGATTTTTTATTAACTTAAAATTCATAATGCTGCGTTATACATTTTGAAGAACATTTCATCACGTCCACTATCTATGAGAGCCTCATCAAATCTTACGACTTTTTCAGGAGGATCCTGCATTCATATTCCAACCAGTATGAACCCTACTCTTTGGTTCTATTCGGTAAAGTCACGTAGGTAAAAAATTAAAAAACCTACGTGACTTTACCGAATAGAACCAAAGAGTATGGATCCTTGCAGTCACGAAAGCTTCAAATCTACAAAAGTATGAGCCCTGCTTGGTTTCCAAGATATGATGATATCGGTGCATCCAGGATAAATTAGTTGTAGACACGAAGAAAACATGAGAAAAACACAACACTAATATACGTCGAAAATGTAAATTAAATAAAAAAAAATCGTACTTGTTGGCGTTGAACACATGGCACCACAAAGTGAACCTCAAAAGAATCTGCGCCTTGCTTACGATGGTGAGTAGGCCTGATGTGAGGCTGGACACCAGGTCTTTCCCAGCACGTGCACACACTATTGTGTTGTGGGCTCCAGAAACAGCAGGTCCGTGGTCAGCCGTCACCATCAGGCACATCTCAATAAATTTGCTGGCGTACTTTGGCAGCCTGTACGATGAAAGAAAACAAGAAAAAACACTACCGCTTACGTCAAGGACAATGTAATGTTAAACTGTTGTGCAACAAAGGTTTTGTCCTGTACAATTAGTCCACATAAAACTGTGAATTTTTTATAAACGAATCTTTAACAAAGGTTATTAAGATGCATCACCTTCGCTGGAACCATAGCAGACCCAGGACGCCGCCCAGACCCATATCTTCTTTGAACACCTCGGTGATGGCCATGCCAGCATAAAGAAGCTCGGGTCCACGCTCGTCACTGATACTCGTCATGAAGGATGCTGGCTTACGAATGAGACCCAGCTCCTGCATAAAGTAAACACGTAAGCACGGACATGTGAACATGTGTGCTGCTTGGAACGTGAGCGTGGTTGCATTAAATTATTTTGCTTGTTTTCTGTCCGAACTCAAAACTAAGTTGTACAAGATTGACAAGATCAACACTATTTTGTGAGCCACTCCATTCCTGTAAGGTATTGTAACGGTTTCACATGCAACTGACCCGGGCCCAGGAGAAGTCCATGGGGACGGTGGGAGGGGGCACCTCTGGCACCGGCACAATCACGCCTTGAGACACCAAGTCGTTATACACAGCACTGAAAGAGCAATGATCATCATGTTAAAATCTGCTAAAATCCAGTGCCTATGGTGTGGTTCAAGTGTTTACAACTATAAAAGGTTTATTCCACTCTTAACACTGAATTACGATGGCGATTCTTCAATAGTATATAGAAACAATAATTTGCATTAAACTAAAATTCGGTATTAATAAAATGGTGGTGTTTTTAGATATACACATTGATTGATTCTATAGCAGCTGCGATGTTGGAAAAAATGCCACTTGTGTGTGTTCAACTGTAAACAGGTTAGCCAGCCTTGCCTTCAGCCAACACTACGATGTGCTCTAAAATCACTTGTCTGCAGCTGCAAGTCCAGGTAAGTGTGCTTATGAACCCAAAACAAAATTCCGTTGGCATGAGAGGAGCTGCTAGAATACACAGTGATTACCGTGTTTTGTCATTTCTGAAAGTACATTTTGCTCGTGAAAGCCCCCTGCTGAATTAACCCTCGTATCAAGATGTCCTCATAGCCCAAGCTGTTGATAGCACCATGCCTTGCCAATGCTTTCTACCCTCTGCCAAATCCTGCAGCTGTTGCACAGTAGACACACGACCTCCAAAATCTGCCCTGTATCTCCATAGGGCCCTTCCCACCATCCTGAACATACACCACACCCAGCCCAGTAAATTTTACCCAAATCACATCTACAAAACCTACGTGCTATGTTCTCTTCTCTCGATGTCTGCATTGCTTATTTTGCCTTGCCACAATTCCTAGCATCTGTCTTGGACACCTCAATTTCCAGCAACTTATTTTTGAAATGCTTAATGAGGGTCCACCTCTCTGATACACAGTAATTTAGATAGCAAGCCCATCTCAAATATCCTTTATTTCACATTCAGACTTATCCCTCTTCTCTTCGAAAGTGGTGTCATAGCCTATCAAATACCAGGCCTGCTAAAGCAATGTGCCCCTTAGCCTTCTTCTCAGAGGCCTCTATATTATGGATATCCTAAGTACACAGTACTCTACCATCTCAACTGTCTCTTATCTAAGTGGGACTTTTAATCATAATACAGGAGTCCGGTTTATAACTACCGCCATCATTGTTATCTTCAGAAAGCTTTAACTTGAAACCCTAAAGTCCAGTCTCATTGTCTCAGACCACCAACAACTGAATGGCTCCAGCCAATGTCCGAATCAAACTTCCGTTTTCAAAGTTACAAAATAACCACATTTCTCACCCAATTTTCTCCCCTAGCTCGTCAAAGTTGCGGGGTAAGAAGGCTCCAGCTTCAGCGAGAGCCTTGTTCTTGGCAACGGCCGTCTCAGAGTCCTGATTCGCGCAGGCGCCCGCGTGGCCAAACTGGACCTGCACATGTGCACCATGAACAAACAACGAGATTTTCGAGCAATGCAGAAAATAAAATTACACTCAAAAGGATACAAGTCATTACTGACAGCAAAAAATATACGTATGGCCATGCATATTCTGGACGTGTTTATCTTTGAGAAATAAGAAACCAGACGGGTATGAAAGCTGTGGCCTTGCCTCAGAGGAAAACATTGTGGCACATGTGCCAATGCACCAGGCTACGATGGGTTTTGTCACCCGGCCCTCCTTGATAGCGTGACAGATTTTGTACTCCTCCATGCCTCCCACCTGGAGAAAAGAGAAAAGAAAGGAAACATTCATGACCGCCTAGCTAAAATGCATGCCCTGTGGGTGGTTATCATTTTAGGACTTTCTGAAATAACATTACTTCCTCTAGAGCGGTGGTAAAGTGTTTAGTGTACAGCACTCTAACTGGCTATCAGAGTTAAATTCCTAAATGTGGCCAACATCAGTGGCAAGTGATCTCTCTGAACTAGTTCTGGACCCCCATTACAAACCTACACTAACTGGTATGGTGAAGTATGGTCAATCTCCATGAGTGACAGTGTGTGGGGAGGCCATCATTCAACAGTAGATTGACAAGAGGCTGTAAATTATCATTAATTATTAATAAACTGAAAACCTAATATTGAACGTAAAAACAGTGGAAAATAATTTTACTTAATAGGAGAATGTAAAATTTCCATACCTCCCCAAGAACAACCATCATCTTGACTTCTGGGGTATCTTGGTAGCGCAAAACATGATCCAAAAAGGTTGACCCAGGATACCTGTTAGTCACAATATGATGAAAGCATATTTTGGCACCTTAACTTCATTCCGTTTTTAAAACATAGATTTGAAAAAGTGAGCACAAATGACTCGGCATGTACAAAAACAATGCGTACTTAAAGAGTAAAGGTAAAATTTACTGGGCAGACAAAACCTGAAGAGAAGCCCTTCAGGTTGTATGAAGAATCATAACAGATATTCGCTGTGTAAGTAAATCAAAGGCATACAATATTCAACCTAAAATTTTACATATAGCAACGACATTCACAGCTTTAACTTTTAATGTGACTTGAAATCATTAACATGAGCGAGTACTTTAGGAAGGGCATAAAAAAATCTGTTACGGCAGTCGAGACGAATGACAGAAATAAATAATTATGCAGATGAATCTTTGCTGCAGCATTTCCCATTTTAAAGAGCGAATGTGTTCAATCATATTCCAGCGCGTCCAGCCACGACCAGCCTTGACTGCCAGTGCTCACCGGTCTCCGCCGATGGCGACGCCCTCGTAGACGCCGTCTGTGGTGCGCGACACTATGTTGTTGAGCTCGTTAGACATGCCGCCGGACCGCGACACGTATGCCACGCTGCCCGGGCGGTACAGCTTGGAGGCGAGAATATTGTCGAGCATTCCACCGGTGTTTCCAATCTTGAAGCAGCCAGGCTTGATGCCTCCCACCTGTCAAAATGAAAGCCACAGTGCACGAAGAGTGATAACCTAAAGCATATAACGAAAGAGCTGCATGTGTGGTTTTGCGATTGCGTGGTGCTGCTCGTACAGTGGCAGGCCCGATGACGGTCACCCCCTTGGCATCTGCCATCTTAATCAGTCTCCGGGTGAGAGCCTCTGGTATGCCTTCAGCTATGATGGCAATTGTGTGGATCTGTGGGAAAGAATAAGGTATTTTATTCATCGACAACAGTTTTCATAGCCATCAGCTTCTAAATGGTGCTATATGTAATTCTGGAAATAGACCTTGTGATGATTTTAGGAAAAACTACTCAACACACGTGCACACTCAAGTACCTGTGGGAAGCTCATGGTCTCCACGGTACTATCGTAGGCCGAGCGAAGGGATGCAAAGTTTATGAGCACATCCACCTCCGAGTGTCGCCTCATGGCTTCTGCCATATTCTTGTAGACAGGGATCAGAATTTCCTTGTGGCCCCAGTAGAACTTCTGTTTGTGGTCACCACTGTTGGAACCAGCAAAAAACTCATTTAAAAAAAGACATTACCTTCAAAATAATTAATTTCTACTTAAACTATACCGCACAGTATTCACTCACTCTCGTAGACTCAAGGGCCGCGAGGAACCACAGACAAGCAGGTAGGCAGCCACGCGATGAACCGGAGCCAACAATTTGCCCAGGCTCTGCGGTCCTCGATATATTAAGAGTTTAGCATCCAATTAATGAGCGTTTCCATGTTGGATAAAAATAGAGCACCTGGAGAAAACCCACGCATTCAAGCGAGAAACCCTCTATCCCATACAGGTGGAACAGGTGGAGACCGTATTTTTGCTGTACCTCTCCTGCCAAGCAGGGGTATGGCATCTCAACACCCATCTGTGTGATCAACAAACACACACCTCTACAGTGCTGGATTACAGGCATGCATAGCCATTACCACCTAGATATTTTAAATGCCATACTATATTGCGTTCAAAATATTTTTTTTAAAGTTATATATTTGATATAGCTCCTAGAGGATGATGCCATCTATATACAAACTGTGCAAGGAGGGAATTTAACGTACGTAAAAGGGTACACAATGGCAGCGACAGAATGCTCTTTGCGTGAGCACACATAGTCGAAGTCCAGCATGCCCTGCACCGCACGTGTTTGCATTCCCCACACAATTGACTTGGTTTGATTTCCAAAGAGTGTGGTCAGCTTGCCGGCTGCATATCAGACAACGCACAAAAAAAAATAGCAAGATAAGTAAATAAGTAATCATTCACAATCCGTTTCCGTTAATCTCACTGCTATTAACCACTATCGTTCTTTCACTTGTGTTTTTTTGTTCAAAACATACAATACGAATAATCAAGAGATGATAATGCAAATACATTCGATCAATATGCAATCGAACAACTCCAACATGCATTTAAGTGACATATGTGGGTCTTGCATGCTGTTTAAGTGCATCTGTCTGTGCGTCCTCACGTGGTGCAGCTGACCCAGGGTGGTCGCCGGCCTTGCCTTTGCGACTGCTCTCCACGCTCTGGTTGCCCTCTGATGCGGAGCTCTTTCGACTCGTGTCTGGTGTGTACTGCAAATGGCAAAGAACTGTCAAGCCAGAAGGCTGTGATGCATTAAACAACACAAGCTGTCACAGCTCTGAAATCTAACATATATGAATTTAATGTACAGGCCAGGCGGTATGCTACTTGTTAACTCTCAGTTATCCACATTATGGATTAACTGTGAGTGCAAAAATAAAATCTCTATTCCTTCTGGTTTGTTAGCTACTCCTCCCTTGATAAAGGTCAGTCACTCAGTGCAAACATGTCGGCAAGAAAATCGATGACTTTTCAAGTTGTTTAAAAAATATTATGCAAGCTATTTTTCACCTTCCAAATAAGGGAAAGAATAAATATAATTATATTTTGATTTAAAGCTTTCGTCACTACAGGGATTCATATACTTGGTTCTTTCGGTAAAGTCACGTAGAAGGGAAACAATAAAAATAATAAAAATATAAAACAATAAAATGATCACGACGTTTCGACTGCAACACAAGCAATCATCATCAGGTATGAAAACCACAGGAAGAAAATTTGAAAAAAGTGGCGGTTATTTTTAACGTTAGCACCACGGAGAGCGATTTGGCAGTTATTCAGATGGACTAGTCCATCTATGTTTGGAAAAGAGGAGGGGGGAGACGAAAATAATGGATGCGGTCTGAAAGCCCACGTAAGCGTGAACAATCAATTAAGACCCGAAATCGTTTATCAAATCCTTCCAATGATTGCTAAGCCAGAATCCATCTTCTGGGTTGAAATTGTCTCTGTGTTTGTATATGTGAGGTTCTCTGCAAGCCATCTGGCTACCATGAGAGATTCGTTCATGAGGCTATCCACATATACAAACACAGAGACAATTTCAACCGAGAAGATGGATTCTGGCTTAGCAATCATTGGAAGGATTTGATAAACCATTTCGTGTCTTAATTGATTGTTCACGCTTACGGTGGCTTTCAGACCGCATCCATTATTTTCGTCTCCCCCCCTCCTCTTTTCCGAACAAAGATGGACTCGTCCATCTGAATAACTGCCAAACCGCTCTCCGTGGCGCTAACGTTAAAAAACCGCCACTTTTTCAAATTTTCTTGCTGTGGTTTTCACACCTGATGATGATTGCTTGTGTTGCAGTCGAAACGTCGTGAGAATTTTATTGTTTTATATTTTTTATTATTTTATTGTTTCCCTTCTACGTGATTTTACCGAAAGAACAAAGAATATAATTATATTGCCTAATTTACAAGTTTTTATTCATGGATATTTTTGCTTTATCCAGGTCACCCCTCTACCCCCATTATCCCAGATAATTGAGAGTTTACTGTACTAAACTTTCCTACATATTTTTTCTCGATAAATTAAAAAGCATTTATTTTACAGTACATTTATAGCGCCAAACAGAACCACCGGGGTACTGCTTACACTGGTACTTGTGCTTGTGTTGAGGAGGAAGTTGGCAGTGTGTGCATCAGCCGGCAGCATGTCTGGGATGGGTTTGAGTCCCAGAGCCATGCCTACAATAGCAGTCATGTGCGTCTCTGTGCCAAACACGTGGATGGGGATCCCTGTTGTACGCCCTGTAACATCAAAAACACGTGCCCATTATTTAAGATTCCATCCAACAAATCCATCAGTTAAAATACAAATCCTGTAACAGTTTTGATTCACGGTTGGGGTGAAGTGCACAGCACCAGAAACCACTCAAGCTTACAAAACCATTCACAATTATGGCATTGCTGCATTATATCCCAACTTACCAAATGCTTAAAATGCTTATGGAGCCATATATTACATACAGTGGCATGCACGAGGGATGCGCTGCAAATCCATGATACCCTTGACAACATATTAAATCTATTAGACATATACCAATACAAGACACCGGAATTAACCCAATTTTCATATATTAAATCCCAATGTATTGTGGAAAAAGTATTCGTTTGAGATCACGAACCAACTTCTCGCATGACACGCAGGCCCTCTTGGAAGTTGGGGCCTCCACGGCGTACAAACACACTGACGCTGTGCTCCTTCAAACGTGTCTGGAAGTCCGTAATTGCTCGCACAATGCCCTATGCAGATGCACGAATTCAAACGCCAGGTACCAATTTTAAGAACATTTCACAGTCTTTAAAAGCACGTCCGTGCTAATCAGCATTTATTTTCAGATTCAAAGACCTAGGCAAGTACATTAACATGTTTCTTTGTACAAGTCATGCAGAATTACATATAAGATACGTACAATGAATCTTTAGTATTTGTGATATCGTTTTTATTTCCGTGTAATGTAATTGGAAAATTACAATAGATTACACAAAATGCAGCCAAATTGGCACGCTATTTGAACACGTAAAAAAATGGGAATAATGACATGTACAGCTAACCTTTAGCAGCTACCGTTGAATAAAGAAGTGTTTTAAACCATAAATAATTCATGAACCTGGCACACAGGACAACAAACTGGACAGAGATTTAACCCGTAATGTGTGCCAACGATTCTTTAAGGTTTTACTTTCCCATGTCATTTCATGCCAAATTTTAAGGCAGCCAATATATGCATGTTTCAATAAATTTGCTATAAAACATGATTAAATGTGCCTCCAGCCGTTGGCAAGTGACTAGACGATTTAAAAGGTTTGATCACTTTCCAAAGTAGAGTCCTGTAAATATTTGTAGATTCATAAGCATTTTGTCCATTTGACAGCTGTAAAAGGCTATATCAATTTCTTCAGGATGAGCACTTGACAAGTGAAGTGCCGAGGTTAAATCTCATCGGCACCTCCTACTGCCTGGGACTGTTTCCTTCAAGGCATGTCAAAAATATTGCAATATTAACCGTAGAGATTGTCCTTCACTCCATACCCATACATTTATTGTGACAGCTCTGAATATGATTTACGGTTCAACTTTCCAATTGTTATTCAGTTGAAACTGGGCATCACAGAACTGGTTGACATTTTTTCCCAAATCAAACAATTTTTTAATAAATTTTAAAGAAAATTGCAATACCTTGAATGTTGCAGCAACGTTTGTGAAGTTTGCAATTCCTCCTCCGATAATCAAAACTTTTCCTGCAAGAAAAAAACCGATATACATTTTTATAAAATCACAGCTGCTGAACACAGGCCCCAAGGGCAAAATCGCCAAGCAGCCAGCAACAAACAATACGACTGAGGGTGTAAAAAGATTAGAGTTTATACGTTTCTTGATTGAGCAAGGAAATGAGAAACAAAATAAGCTATGCTTTAACATAGGAATAGGTTTTACCCTTTTAACTGGCACAAAAACTGACACCTTTATTCAAGGCATCATGTTTGCAATGACCACAACACAAGCAGTCAAAATGCAAACAAAAAAGACAACTCTGATAATAATATGCACTGTCCTTGAATTTGATTGGTCCACACCCGAGACAGCTTTTCTTAGAGCCTAGTCTCCATTGGTGTTGGACCAGAAGACGCCAAAAGGCATACAACTCACCGTATTTTAATTGAAAATTTCAGTTCACAAATTCTCAAAAATTACAAAAGTGAGGACATCATGATGCTTACAATTACAGTACAGACATTAAACAGTGGTGCATGTCAACAAGCGCGAACCCAGGGGCAAAGCTACCATCGTCATGCCTCTCGCGGGTCATGAGGGAGAGGATGGTCTTGGCGTAGTCGTAGGTTTGCTGCTCGCTGGGCGCTCCCGAGTACTCGCCATAGTTTGCTAGCTCCTGCACCCCTCCCAGGTCACAGATGGTGTCGCTGGCACAAATGAGAAAACTATAGTCAGCATCATCAGTTTAGTGGGGTTTTTTTATCAATGTAAAGGAATAATCTAAGCATATGTTGTCGAAATAATATTCATATTTTAAAACGTGCGCACTTAAAATAAAGTGCAATAAACTGACTGTTATGCACATTAGTGCCAAATAAAATGTGGTACTGTAATTATATTGATATTTTTCACCGTTATATTTTGTATTGCACACCTACATTGAAACGCCCAAACTGACGACCGTGAAGTACGGTCAAATTACCTGCTATAACTGTCACTGTGTGGGGAGGCCCTCATTCAGCGATGGATTAACAAAAGAGCCGTACATGTACAATTATGGGATCTCCATGGATGTATCGTGGCTACCTGTAAACAACCGAGGCCCCGCCGCCAGCAACCATGGTCCAAATACGCCCCTTGGGGTTCAGAATGGTTAACTTGAGGCTCGCTCCACTCTTGGCATCCAGCTCGGCAATATAAGCTTCCTGCAGAATTGTAATAAAGATATACCTTTAACACGAAAACAAATTGCAATGGGTACAAAGCAATGTAATTTTATCCTGAAAGAGATGTATGCTGTTCTGTAGATTATCCAACATAATGCATGCCTAATGTCTTCACGGAAAAATAAAAAATAACGACAGAAGACTATAACCAATATATTTCATTTTAAATCAACAACTGCAATACACAGTGAGGAAAAAAAAGTATTTGATCCCCTGCTGATTTTGTACGTTTGCCCACTGACAAAGAAATGATCAGTCTATAATTTTAATGGTAGGTTTATTTGAACAGTGAGAGACAGAATAACAACAAAACAATCCAGAAAAACGCATGTCAAAAATGTTATAAATTGATTTGCATTTTAATCAGGGAAATAAGTATTTGACCCTTCTGCAAAACATGACTTAGTACTTGGTGGCAAAACCCTTGTTGGCAATCACAGAGGTCAGACGTTTCTTGTAGTTGGCCACCAGGTTTGCACACATCTCAGGAGGGATTTTGTCCCACTCCTCTTTGCAGATCTTCTCCAAGTCATCAAGGTTTCGAGGCTAACGTTTGGCAACTCGAACCTTCAGCTCCCTCCACAGATTTTCTATGGGATTAAGGTCTGGAGACTGGCTAGGCCACTCTAGGACCTTAATGTGCTTCTTCTTGAGCCACTCCTTTGTTGCCTTGGCCGTGTGTTTTGGGTCATTGTCATGCTGGAATACCCATCCACGACCCATTTTCAATGCCCTGGCGGCTGAGGGAAGGAGGTCCTCACCCAAGATTTGACGGTAAATGGCCCCGTCCATCGTCCCTTTGATGCGGTGAAGTTGTCCTGTCCCCTTAGCAGAAAAACACCCCCAAAGCATAATGTTTCCACCTCCATGTTTGACAGTGGGGATGGTGTTCTTGGGGTCATAGGTAGCATTCCTCCTCCAAACACAGTGAGTTGAGTTGATGCCAAAGAGCTCCATTTTGGTCTCATCTGACCACAACACTTTCACCCAGTTGTCCTCTGAATCATTCAGATGTTCATTGGCAAACTTCAGACGGGCATGTATATGTGCTTTCTTGAGCAGGGGGACCTTGCGGGCGCTGCAGGATTTCAGTCCTTCACGGCGTAGTGTGTTACCAATTGTTTTCTTGGTGACTATGGTCCCAGCTGCCTTGAGATCATTGACAAGATCCTCCCGTGTAGTTCTGGGCTGATTCCTCACCGTTCTCATGATCATTGCAACTCCACGAGGTGAGATCTTGCATGAAGCCCCAGGCCGAGGGAGCTTGACAGTTCTTTTGTGTTTCTTCCATTTGCGAATAATCACACCAACTGTTGTCACCTTCTCACCAAGCTGCTTGGCAATGGTCTTGTAGCCCATTCCAGCCTTGTGTAGGTCTACAATCTTGTCCCTGACATCCTTGGAGAGCTCTTTGGTCTTGGCCATGGTGGAGAGTTTGGAATCTGATTGATTGATTGCTTCTGTGGACAGGTGTCTTTTATACAGGTAACAAGCTGAGATTAGGAGCACTCCCTTTAAGAGTGTGCTCCTAATTTCAGCTTGTTACCTGTATAAAAGACACCTGGGAGCCAGAAATCTTTCTGATTGAGAGGGGGTCAAATACTTATTTCCCTCATTAAAATGCAAATCAATTTATAACATTTTTGACATGCGTTTTTCTGGATTTTGTTGTTGTTATTCTGTCTCTCACTGTTCAAATAAACCTACCATTAAAATTATAGACCAATCATTTCTTTGTCAGTGGGCAAATGTACAAAATCAGCAGGGGATCAAAAACTTTTTTCCCTCACTGTATTCAGTTAAATAACACGTGTTCTAAAGCATTTTGTGTTGCCCAATCTCCTGCACATCCTGAGGTTAAAATGCCAAATCCGACTGACCGCAGGAAAGCAATTTTTCACATATTAGCAAGATTACATTCCATGTTTGCTGAATGGAAGGCTGCAGCATGTTATTATGTCTGTAATGAGTTTACAAATTACAACAAAATAGTTGTCAGACCATGTTTCTAAATGTACATGTAAACATATACATTGTACTCCGTTTTTATAATTGTTATATGGTATCATTCCAATACAAAAGGCAAATTATTTGCATGAGGGAATTAGAGGAAAAATGCCATTAATATCCAAATCTGTTTCATGACGGATCGATTTATAGATCTATATATATATAAAAACCCTCACCAGAACCTGAAAACTAAGCAGACTTGAGCCTGTACAATGCTTGGATGGGGGACACAATGCACGTTTGGAGGGCAGTGCAGCAAATTCCATTGTTCTGTGAAATTACAATTCTCGTGCTTTCATTTCTATGGTTCCCCATCTTCAACTCTAACTCACTGAGCATGGTGAAGTATGGTCAGATAACCCCATGACACGCACGGAACAAGGAGCGACCTCGCCAGCAGTGTTACCTATTATGTAATGTGTTTTGTCATAGTGGCTTTAAAAACGATGCATACAATGAATTAAATCTAGGGACCAAGGTACAAGGTCTTCGTGTAGATAAAAGCAACATATACTACACCTCTGGGTAGGCTTCTCGGCCAAAGGGAGGAGGGAAATCAATGTCTCCCCACTTGGTCTTGCAGAGGTAGTCAGCGGTGGCATCAATCTTCGCAGCCATGTCCAGCACATACACTCCATTGTCCGTCACAACTGCGTGATGGTATCACAGAATAAGCATCACTCCGCAATTGTTTCGCAAGATAAGCGTGAATCTAGTTTTAATGGCAAAAATCAACAAAGGCTACATTGATAAAATATTTTATTTAACACACAATGGAGAAAATGTAGATGAACGATGTGAAATTCAAATGTAAACGCAAAAATAATGAATGTAACTTTAAAACTTGCTTGACATTTGGAAACAGTTGTACTTTAAAATAATTTCGAAGAATGTATTAGAGAGAGCACAACGTGCCAATGATCATACATTACCTAAAGGATTGATTTCCAGGTAGGTGAAAAAAAGATCTTCATAAACCTTAAAAAGTCCAGCTATAAATTTTGCCAAAAGCCTAACAAAAACAAACAAAATTAAATTCATGAAAACATCATTTACATGGATCAAGACGAGATGTATCAATTAAATATATTGCATTCTACTGTAATGGTATCGGACAGAAGTTTTGGGTGCATCAGATAATCCTGAGAATAGAGTAGGTGATTCTTCCCTAAGTAATCTGCCCAAGGGTAGGTCCATGGCTCAAACTCCTTCCATCACATTCATTCAATTTCCCCTAATTCTCAAAGAAACACCAATATTTACACGAGGGTTCTTGAGCCATAACTATGGCAGAATAGTGGAGGTGGTTCCCTTGCCTTTCTCATCTGTGTTTGTAGGTGACATCACCAGATGTAATTTAACATTATACAGAGGATGAACAATATAGATGTACATGTACACACCATTTGTCATTGCACTGTTGTATAATAGCTTCCCCATGTCATGTGGGTCGTAGGGGCTATATGACCACACTTCACCATCACGGTCAGTGCAGGTTGGTGAAGGCAGGAGCATAGAAGTACAGTACAAGGATATATTGTGTTGCAGTTCTCTCTGCTTCCGAGCATGTAGCCATCAAACATGATGGTCAAAATTTTTACAAGATGAAGTGGGGGAGCATTCCAGGCGATTTGGTTATAGGCTTGGATATAGGTATAATGACAAAAATTAAAGATAAAAGTGTGTAACTGCATGCATTTTTAAGCACCGAGCAACAGCAACACATACTCACTCTTTGCGCTTTGCAGGTACATTTTGCAAGAGTCGCGCCTTGACACTGTCAGCAGTGAGGCCACCCTCCACCCCCACTAGCAAACGCAGAGCCTTGGTATCCACGTCGCCGACATCTACCCCGCCCTCGTGGTGAAACAGCACCACGTCACCCTCCCGAGTTGCATACACACAAACATAGAACTCTTCCTCCTGCAGCGGACACATATTAGACACATATTACAACATGACTCCGTGTTTTTACATTCGGTGAATGCATTAGGTCTGTCCATCTGTATATCTGCAATGGGGGACCCAATAACTTTCGTAAAAATAACCAATATAATAAAAAAAAATTGCATAAAGTCGTGCTGTTATTGGGGAGTTACACCATTAAAAACAGCCAAATCGAAATCCGAGCTATATTTTGAGATGACATCATTACGTATGAATTCATTTCATTGTGCGCCTTGAAAAGAAACATCATTATCGCTCGTGAAATAATTTCAGGAACACACACATCTAAGAAATCTTTAAAGATTCCATGCATATGGATGATTTTCCATTCTTGTAATTATATTCATAATCAAGAACTCCAGCAACAAACAGAATTATAAAATATTATACTCTTTGGGTCTTTCGGTAAAGTCACGTGACTTTACCGAAAGACCCAGAGTATGAATTCCTGCCGTCACGAAAGCTTTAAGTCAAGATAAAAAATATTACTTATAAAACTGGTAAAAAAAATTTAACTTCACATCCATATCACATGTATAAATTACACGGGGATTGCTGAAGGAACTATATCGTTCTTAATGAATTTGTAATTTGAAAGACAAACAAAAAATATTTTGGCAAACATTTTTTTTAACATCAATAGATCAGAAAAAATAGCAAGAATGGCATTTTAAATAGCGTAAATATACCCGCACGCAATTAATTTGCTTGCTCTGCACACAGCACATGAATGCCGTTCAATCTATTTAAGAGCCCACCCTGCACACGGTGATTTGAAAGATGGCTTGATGTCCTGCCACCAAAACCTGATTGCTACATTCCTGCCTGGTCAGGATATATTGCTCATCTCGTAAATGGATTGCACTAGGGGAAATGAAGGTTACATTCGTGGTAGCCTAACATTGAATCAACCGTTTGGTAACAGTGGACCTTTACTTACACAAGGTCTATCACTGAAATGTTACTTTAACATGTACATTTACTTTTTCTATAAGCTCACATCATTACCGAAACAAATTTAGCTGGCACATAGAGTAAGCATTATTGAAAAATGTATGTACAGTCTATTGACAGCCACTGCTGGATAAATGAACCCCCCCCCTCCCATTCCATATTGGTTGTGGGGGATGTTTGACTATACTTCACCACGCTGATCAGTGTAGGTTGATGAAAAGGAGCCCTGGACAGATTCAGATCACTTGCTACTCATTTCAGCTGGTTAGCTGGGAACTGAAACCAGGTTAGGTGGGTCCATAGCTCAATGGGCATTCCATGTGACGATGCGCTTCTGTATCCCTTATCTGGCTAGAAACATTATCAGGATAAAGTAATGACAACCCACGTACCTGCTTATGTGGTACAAATGGTTCAATGACAAAATTCTTCAAAATTCCTTTTGCTGCGCCAACCTAGAAATAATATAACAGGCACATGTTAAAATGGGCAACTTTATTTTGAACACAGGATTGTTGACATGTTACAGGTCTCTGATACATAAGTAATTTGCAAAACTAGACAAACATTCGCTGGAGTCGTATATTATCAAACATATTGCAGTGAAGACAAAAAATAAAAATTCCCATGCTGTCAATGACCACAGAGCACATCATGGGTGTGTTTGGTATTATTTTTACGTCCGCATGCCACTTACCACACCCATTACACGTTTTTACCTGTAAATATTCACATAGCCGATTTGATTTTTTCCAGTAATTATCATTTTTCAATCTTAATATTTTCCATAACTTGCAAAGGAAACAAATACGATACTTTATTTATTCTGAAAATCTTTTTCATGAAACTCAGATCAAAATCATCTGTGTACCAATCTATATTTTTGATTTGCATACTATAATTTGTGAAAAGCCGTTTTTAACTAATTAAGTCCATAGACGATGAGCCTATTCATATGTGAAACAAACCTGCACTTCCTTGCCCATGCGTGGTTTCAGCCAATCCCGCACGCCCTTTAGGTCCAGGTTGACCCCAACGAGCCCAAGCTTCCCACGCCGCTTGATGAGCTGATCTGGCTTCACCACCAGCCGCTGATGTAAGAATACAAAAATAAAAATTATCAGACACTTAATTGGAAAATACTCTTCACCTTGCAGATTTCTTGCACAATTACGTAATAACATGGTTCTGTGTACCACTAGCCAGAGATTACAACTCTCAAGTTCAAATTTAACCCTCTCACATACCCCACATACAGTTAAAATTTGTGTGCTTGAAATATTAGGCAAATTCAGGGGTGAGTGCCGTGGTAATTTTTTTTAAGGAAAATAAATATAAGCAATATAAAATAAAAATAATACAACTCCAAATGAAACTACCAAAAATCATAAGCCAATTACAAATCACACTATCCAATGCTACAACAGTTACCGAATAGTGCTAACATAAATTACCTGGCAGGTAATAGCACTTCATGGAGTGGAGAGGAAGCGAACAACAATTTAGGATTGATTTGGATGCCGGTCAATTTTGTGGGCTTCAAGAGTGTGATTTTTCATTTATTTTGAAGGTCGCCCAAAACCCCCTCCCCTCCTATATACGCAAGACATAGTATATCCGAAAATGTTATTTCAAGGACGTACTATTTAAATTGTACAGGTTTAACACAATACATAAAAACGTACCTGTGTGATTAGCCAAGAGTGCTGCTGGATCAGCTTATCCCAGTTCGTATCTGGGCAAACCGTTGCATAGCGAAATTTATTTTGCACCGAGGCCACACTGTCGAGGTGTTTGTACAGCAGCTCCTTGCCGGTCACCTCCAGCACTGCTTTTGCAGACATGGTTGCGTGGGCTTTGCAGTCGGCACAATATCCTGTTAAAAAAAAAACCCAGCGATTTTAAATAACAGAAGTGGAAATCATTATTATGAAACACTGTTACTCATTCCTCAAAATGCAAATTGAAAATTTCAGTACATTACATTAACTCCGTGTGACATTTACATCAATCCAATTACCAAAAAGCATGCGTTTTTAACAGAAAATATCGATAGAAGGGGGCTGTAGCTCATTTAAAAAATGCAGTATGCATGCAAATGTCACGTCCCGTGCCAATGGTTAACACAAACCAAAAGCACAAAGTCAATAATAGAGGGGTCTTCATGAATGAAAATAGCTTCCAGATACATAAATTCATACCTCCAGCCAGGAAAAAATGCCAAGCCATTTTAATACTAAGACTTTACAGGTCTATATTTTAATGACGCTCTGTATTTTACTGGTACTGCTGTTTGATGTTGGCAAAGTACAGACAAACTGCTATACAATGAAGACATGAACAAAATACAAATGCAGAAATGCATTACATACACGGAATCTGAACATTATATTATTAAATTACCAACAAAGATAGTAAATTACAATGCTGCAAGTGGTATAAAGTGCAGTTGATTGTTTTATTTAAATGGATGACGTCGATTATTTTGATAGGTAAAATAAAGCAAACGGGAATGTTTAACACAGACACATTCTCCTTCCCCAGAATAAGAAATGTGATAAGCTTGCCATGAAATAAAAACACTTATGATTTTAGATTTTAAAAAATACCTTGGTTGAACCATTTTTAACGTGAAATGGCAGAGTTAATACTTTTGCAAATACCCGAGCAGTCCTGGAAAAGCATTGCTCTCTCATCCCTCGGGTATGCAAGAGGATAAAAGCTTCATGCTTTTGTGATGCCCATTCATGTGTAACTTGAATAATAGCTTACGGTAAAAAAGCATTAGTTATTGTTCTCTACGCTCCATTATCGAGATGGCACCGTGCCACAGGCTAGGAAAGTACTCAAACTAAAAGCATCATATGATTAAATCACATTTCCCTATAAGTCATTACATCAGTCATGAAAATTAGTTGTGTACAAGATTAAGAATATGTGCATGGTGCTATGGAAAGTTAGGTTTGTCTTTGCATGTCGGATTCAAATCAGTGTACAGAGTATAATGTGTTTGCATAGTAAGTTTCTAGTGTTGAACCTATGACCCACGTCGCTCGTTTGTCTATAACCTTTGCCTAAGGCTGGCTACTGCCACATCACTGATTCCTCTCTGTCTGTGTATTGCCTCATACCTTGGCTGATGATATAGGTCTGCCTATTCTTAGTTGCATTGCAACACATGCAAATTCAAATTACATGAATCCCTTACAGCTCGTCGATGGAGTGGGCCAACAGCTAATTCAATGATTTCCCATGAGGGTGACCTGGGTTCTATTCCAGATTCCAATATGCAAATCTTCAACAAGACTTCTTTGTTCTCGGTTTGGCCTTTGCTGTCGTGGCTAAGCATGGAATGCCCACCCAATAGGAAGAGGGCCCTGTGAGAGGCAATGCCCATTCACTGGAACCTGTCTGTGCTCATGCCCTGCAATACCATACAGTATTTTACATTTGAAATTAGTTGTTGCCGTGCTCACACACCACGGATCTCCCTTTTAAAATAGGCGGACAACTGGCTAAACGGGATTAACCGTGTAACAAATACAATAATAAACCTAAACATTCGTGGTCATCAACACTACCAAGATGGTCTATGGGACCTAGCCAGGCATCCCTTTCGTCAACATCTCTTATGTTGCAAAACTTTCACCACCATCACCACCATCATCCTCATGAGCTCTGATCTATAAAGTGCTGGATGAAGGCCTCCTTTACCCGTCACCATCTCAGTCCTGCGATGTAACAATCCATCCGGCTCTGGCAAAGAGCGGATCTATTAGCTTTATCACCTCGGTGGACACAATCTCGGCGTGATGCAACCTTTGGCTGACACTCCGTCGTTAGTCTTAATCTACTGGAGATGTGTGAAAAAGAGCTTTATAGCTCATCCGATTCCTTCAGTATAAATAGTGATTCCGATTAACCGGCCTTTGAGCGACGCATCCTGTCCATAAACCCAGTTTTCGTCACTTTAGGTGTATCAATTTTTTCATGACCAATACAAGTGCATTATGCATGACCTTTTAAAATGAGATTAGCACATTAACTTTCATTGGTCATTAATATCTTCTCTGGCTAACGCTTTGCCACTTCAGGTGCCATAGACTCTTGCACTCTGGCCCATGGACTGATCATATATGTGGCCAGAAAAAGTCATTGTCCCTAGACAAAGTTAATTTCCACATACAGTAATACAGAAAATATACCCTGGCAGCTCTTGCTTAATGAGCCGAAAACAACTCCTGTAGAATGTCAAGTGCACACCTTTGAAACAACAATTTCAAGTCGGCCTTTGCTCGCAAGTGATTATCTTTTGACAAGTCTAAGCCCAGGCACGTAATGCAAATATAAAACTGAGGAATACATTATTACAGTGTTATATACCCTGCCCTGCGCAGCATCCAGGCTTTTTCCACCAGCATTGTCATCAATTTACAACGCAGACTGCAATGAAAGCGCAGCAAACAACGAACATCGATCCATCTGTCTCGAGATAACACCCACTGGCATCAATCACTCCCCCTTTAAAGTGGGCGACAACCTATCACACAACACAGTTCAATGACAACATTACGCATCACGCGCGCTACACATTGTCTACATACTTTACAACACGCGTGAATGCATGCATGCATGTAGCTAAGCTGGTAAAAGTAATTCATGCAAAAAAGCGGCAGTAAAGTACAGCAAACAACGCGACCCCAAGCTGGTTAAGACTTTACACATGACGCCGGCAGCAGCAGCAACAGCATCAGTGAGGGCCCAGCAATTATTGCACGCAGCGTTGAACGCAGTTGCACCCAAGTTCGCTAAACGTCACCAACTCTCTCTCTCACATTATTGACCAGCGTGGCGAAGTGTGCCCAAGAACAACTGCTGCCTTCGTCCAGCAGTGGATTGATACACGGAGCTATGCATGAGCTAGTACAGTCGTAGCAGTGTTAGATGGAACGTGAGCATTGGTAAGCAAGGGCTTCATTTCTCACGGAACGCTGCGATAGCTGGCTTGAAAGCAAGGATTGTCGGCGTAAGACACTACCACTTAGAATATAAGCTCCACAATAGTGCAATCATACGTAACATGAGTTTTACCCCATAGTGCGCGAATACCAAATGCACTAAATTCCTATTCATTAAATCCCGACAATTCCCTGAACAGAATTATACAACTTAAGATGCGCAATATACGGCCGGATGGAACAATTTTCCGGTGAAACGAGGCACCTATTACCGGCTGGAATGAAGCACCGATTAAGTTCTGTAGGTTTAGTTGGCGTTGAGACTCACGGGGATCGACTGTCGGCTGCAAGAGCGGAGCGGAGGTCGGGGACTCGGCACGGCGGAGGCGGTGGAGGCGGTGGGGCTAGTAGCGGGGCGGCTCCACGCACTCGCTCCTTATTTGCCTGCTCCCCCACTGGCCCTCCCCCTAGCCCCTCCCCCCCGAGCCCCTCCCCCCCTGGCCCCTCCCCCACTGACCCTCCCCCTAGCCCCTTCCCCACCAACTCCTGTCCTCCCTCCCAACCCAGCCACCCCCACCAACTCCTCCGCCTGACTCCCCCAAACCCCCCCTGTCCATATCACGGCACCAGCCCCTCCCCCCACCAGCCCCTCCCCTCACCAGCCCCTCCCCTCACCAACCCCTCCCCTCACCAACCCCTCCTCTCACCAGCCCCTCCCCTCTCCAACCCCTCCCCCTGACTCCCCAACAACCCCTCTTCTCACCAACCCCTCCCTCCCCTCACCAACCCCTCCCCTCACCAGCCCCTCCCCTCACCAGCCCCTCCCCTTACCAGCCCCTCCCCTCAACAACCCCTCCCCTCACCAACCCCTCCCCTCACAGCCCCTCCCCTCACCAGCCCCTCACCTCACCAGCCCCTCCCCTCACCAACCCCTCCCCTCACCAACCCCTCCCCTCACCAGCCCCTCCCCCTGACTCCCCAACAACCCCTCCCCTCACCAGCCCCTCCCCCTGACTCCCCAACAACCCCTGCCCTCACCAGCCCCTCCCCCTGACTCCCCACCAACCCCTCCCCTCACCAGCCCCTCCCCCTGATTCCCCAACAACCCCTCCCCTCACCAGCCCCCCCCCCCCTGACTCCCCGACAACCCCTCTTCTCACGCCCACCAAACCCCCCTACCCATAACCCAACCCCCCCCCGCTCCACGTGTCCCCGCCCAAACGCGCGAGCTCACGCCGGCCCCTCGCGCGAGGCTTGCGCGCCGCCGCGCCATTGGTCAGCGGGACCGCACGGCCCCGCCTACTCGCGCGCGGATTGGTTGGCGCTCGCAAGAGAGGCGGGGCTAGAATGCGGGCGGGGCGTGGCTTCTCGCGCTGGCGGCGCGCGGATTGCGCGGGAGAATCGCACGTGGGTCCCGTGGGTGGAAGTGGAGGGGATGCGCTCATTATGTATTGTGGTGGTGGCGGTAGTGGGGGATTTGTAAGTGGGGTTTTTTGTGGCCTCCAGAAGCCCAAGGCAAGGAGGCGCGGCCTCGGCCACAGGTCGGCCGATCATGAATTGGTCCACGCATTTTTGGCGTGGAGCAGGGGGTTACAAACGGGCGTTTGATTCCCTTTTATAATTCTGAAATTGCGCAATGCATTTACAAACGTCTCTCTTGTCTGCTGTGTATACAATTGTGAAATTGCATTTTTGCCACATGCTGTTGCATTGTCTGCCCCCCTCTTTGTATTCAATTTGAGGCATTATCTGGCCATTGTACTGTATCCATCACCACTCGTGAAGAAATTTCACAATTCCCAACTGGTGCATGTGCAATCCGATTGACAGTCCACTGCTGAATGATGACCTCGTCGTGGGGGTTATTTTAACATACTTCACGATTAGTTGCGCACCTCCAATTAGCACTGGTTGGTTCCGTACTGTGCGAAAGAAGTTTAACATACAGTACATACGCTGGTCAGTGTTGGGATAATGTATGGATAACTTAAGATAATTTGCTGTACTGTCCTCCACTAGTGCTCACGACGCCTACTACGCATGTTTTTGTGTGTCCAGGCTGAAAACCGCTGAGCTTCCCAGGTCCCATATCGGGCGTATTCCAGATTTGGACAGATGCAGGCATAATAGTGCAGAGCCTGTACGCACTCTTTATTTTTCAGGTATTTTTGCATACAAGGGGAACAGATGAAATCAAGTTTCAATGCAGCGTATCTCGTAGACATTAATGCGTAACTATATTTTCCTTAACGCAGTTGCGTATTTGCATTCGTACGCAATTAAATCGCGTTGCGTTTTTTTGGTTCGCACGGGCCACCGTAGTCCAAGCAGTTGCAGGGGGGGGGTCAAAGGAGCCGGAAGCCAAGCCGCCTCTATTCCGCCTGAACCATTTTCAAGACACGGTGGGGGTGGCGGCATTCGAGTGATTGCATCGCATTAAAGAATCGACCTAAATATTTTCACCGCGGGACAAAAAAAACCCCAACATCTATTTATTGGACACATTTAACAACGTGCTACGTGCCGTGTACTCACCTCGAGATCGTAATACGGTAACAAGTTTACAGAGTGGACCGCGCGCGGCCCCTCTTGCGTCGCCCGCCCGTGGGGAGATCCCAGCTCGACGTCTGCAGCTCGCGATCCGAGTTGTTGGGAGCGAAAATAAATAATAAAAATACCCGCGTCAACAACGAGGATCACAACAACGACGCGGCAACATAAACTCACCGTCGCACACGTTCACCAAATAACCCCGCAGTCGCCGGGCGGTAGGGCCCCCCACGCTTTGAGCGAGGCTCCGCTCGAGTGTTATTTTACTCGTGAGTAAATTCTAGAGCGCCGCGCCGGGCATTTCCCTCTTTTTTTTCGCCCCCCCCCTCCTCCTCCTCCTTGCAAAGCGAGGGATGCGAGCGGGCGCCTCCGTGCATGGGAGCGGCGAGGGGACGAGCGCCTCTTGCCCTCGCTGCCTCTCATCTTGCTCCCTCTGCTGCCGCTCCCGCCCAGACTGAAGCGGGAAACACGCGGAGTCGCTTTCATCCCCACCCCACCCCACTTCCCTCCCTTCCCACTGATCCTTCTTCTTCCTCTCTTTCCCTTCTTCTGCCGCTGCTTGCTCCGGTTCCTACCTGGACTGAACAGGGAGATGCATTGAGTAGTTCCACCCCCCCCTCCCCTCCTTGCCTGTTCACTCCGTCTCCACTTCCTCTTGCTGCTCCCGCTCGGACTGGAGAAAAAAAAGAGATCATCCTTGCTGCATCTCTTCCCCTCCCGTCCGTCTCCCCCCTCCGCCAACCCTTGCATCCCCGTCGCTCACCCAAACCGCACCGACAACAATTACAGTATCACAACTGTAAATAACGCAGTGCGCCGGTAGCGGTTAAAACAACGACGACGACGACGGCCGGGGAACGACGGCGGCGTGGCGGCAGCGGCCAACAATTTATTTCAATCGCCGCCGCCACCATCATCACCATCGCTACCACCATCGCTGTCGTCGCTGTAAATAATCACAAGGACAACACCACGAAGGCGAGCACGACGACCACAAGATGTCTGCCGCCGCGGCGCGGGCGGCGAGCGGCGGGCGAGACGTGGAGGGGGAGCCCCGCGCCCCGGCCACGGCCCCGCAACCTCCCGCGCACCGAGCCCTCGCGCCGCCGGGCGACGCCGCCGCGTTGCCCGCCGCCGGCAAAGCCGCCCGGGCGTGCGGGGTCGGCCTGGGCGGCGGAGGCGGCGGCGGCGGAGTGGGTAGCCTCGTCGTAGTGAGCGGAGTGGCCCGGTGCCCCGTGAAGACCGCCCCGCCGAGGCCCGAGCAGCAACAGTTACTGCTTCAGCAGCAGCAGCAGAGGCCTGCGGCGGCTGCGACTGCGGCGACCGCTGCCCAGCTCGGCCCGGCCAAGGCACTATCGGACTCCTCCTCCGCGCCGCCCTTCATCGCAGAGAGCGCAGCGAACAGCAGCAGCAGCAACAACAACAGTGGCGGAGGCGGTCTCGGCATCGTGGTTGGCGGTGCCACCGTCACGGCGGCCCCGGCGGTAGCTGCCGAGGGCGGCCAGGGCAGAACCCGTGGCAGGAAGACGCGGCGCAAGAAGTCGGGCGGCCGTGCCAAGAGCGGCGGCAGCCGGAGCGGCAGGGGCCGCGGCGGGGACGATGGCGGCGATGGTGATGGCGGTGGTGGCGGTTCGCAGGTCGACCACGTGAAGCAGCTGCTGTTGCTTCACCTGGACATGATGGAGGAGCAGCAGCATCAGCTGCAGAGCAAGGAGAAGGAAATACAGGCGCTGAAGACGGAGAAGGAAGCGGTATGTCGGGGCCATTACAATGCGAGACGGGAGGTTGTGCTGGGGATGTTGAGGTTCCGTAGATACATAGCCATGGGCTCTCATCGCTCGTGTTGTGTACCCCCCCCTTCCCTTCTTACTGGCTGTGCTTATGTTGTGGATTGACGTGTGTAACTATAAATGTACTGTTATGTGCCCAGCTGTGCGTTTGACTCTGTGGTTGGTGTTTATTCGTGATTGTCCATCTGTGACATGCAGTCGAGTGTCTTGTTTTTACGTGCGTTTCATGTTAACGTCTTGCGTACTTTTAGAAATGTGCAAATTGGACGGGGAAGTACTTTTATAACCATTTCACCTCCGTGACTAAATACGATAATTAGAGCCTTCCAACCCTTTGCAAACACACGCGTGCGCCTGCGTTCACACGCCTCCACAATATACTCCGGACGTTCGTGTGCGAACGCACGAATGCACGTGTCCTGGGATATGAAAGAGATACGCGGGACCACTGGTGCAGCCCAGCCGCACAGGGGTTTCCCTCCCTGTCGTCGCCGCCGCCATGCTGCCTGCCAGGCTTTAATATCTGTGGGACCTTGGTCATTGCGGCCGCAAGCAAAAGCCCCCTGCCGAGCAACAACATAAAAAAAAACATCGAGCGGGGACGGGGGAGAGGCGAGTTTCTGCCTCGCCCGGCGGGAATCCGGTTATGGGAGTAGGAGGGGGAAGAAGCCCCATGGGCAGGTGGGCGGGCTTGGTGGGGAAGGCCCCCTGGGATGTGTAAAAAAAAAAGAGACGCATTCCTTCGTCGCTGGGTTCTTGTGTCTCCATCATCAATCTTCGTATGACGCCATCATGATTAGCCCCTTTTATGATGTATGGCCGCGTGTTTGGGAGGGTAAGGGTGGGTGATGTTCGACGCTTTGTCTCCACGCGGCCCGGGCAGCTTCTTCAAGAAACTCAATCCAGCACGTGGACGAAGCTGCCGGGTTATTGTCGACAGGCAAACCATACATAGCCCTCCTTGAAAGTTATCTCCCGGCACACACGGAAAGGGGACACATGCCGTGCGAGTCACTTGGAGTCGTCCGGAAAGGGGGTTACGATGAGTTAACTAAGCAAAGACGAACCACAACTTAACTTGAGCGAAACGAGCGACATGTCGAACGAGAAACACATCTCGAGGGCTTTACGAACACAACCCCCGAGCAACTTGTATAGTCGTCGCCTCTTTATAAGTGACCAAGCTTCATGCTTATGCTGCTGCTGGCACGACCCTGAACTGACGGCGACGCTGGGGTTCTTATCCCTCTACCCCGTGAAGTAGAGAATGACGTCTTGCACTGCTCCTCGACACTGTTACCACATCAGAGGGTTTAAAAAAAAAACAATTCTTCCACCAAGGGTCTTGAAACGTCAATGTTTTGTCAGTTCTGGTACAGTATTGCTGTACCATTTTTGAAACTTACAGGGCCTTGTTTTAAAAATACTTATTTTTTGAAGGCTGCGTTTAAGTTGGGTTTTGTTTTAATCGAATCTCCGTCGACCCCAGTGACTCACAGCTGATGTATTTTTTGTGTGTGTGTATGTTTGAGCTTTTAAGGAAGACTAGTACAGTTTGTCGATAACGATCGGGTCGTTTCGTAATATAAAGGCGGTGGTCTAGAAACTAGCGGGGTTTTTTTTTGTTGTTGCGCGTTTGCATCGTTTACCTTTTTTAACCTTGAAGAAAGCTGTCAACAACCGGCAGGCGTTGTTGCTATCAACCCACCCAGCAGCCAACGTTGCCGTGCTGCCGCTCACAAACACACGTGCAACTTAAAGGCCAGAAACCTGCGCCACCGTTGCACTGACTTGGTAGGACACGGAGATGGTGGAGGGTGGGCATGGTGGTTAGTGGCGGTAGGAGCAGCATAACACGGTACGAACGACACTGTTAACAACAACAACGACGGCGACGATAGGGACTTCGCTGCTGTGCTAACGAGCGTGGCGCCGGTTCGGACATTTCACAATATCGTCCCCCTACCCCCATCATCGGCACTTGTAATTCAGTCACGTACGGGAACCCTCACTGCGGGTCCACGCACGGCCCGGGTTGGGGGGGGGCGCGTGGGTCATGGGGCCCGAAGCAAAATTAACCCGGGAGAATGATTGTGTGTGTGTCTGTGTGTGATGCTGGTGCTTGTTGTTTGTATGGTTATGGGGGGCAGCGGGTTTTGCGCTACTTAAAAGGAGGATACCCAGTGCAAGGTACACACGTATGATGTCGTACACGTACCTGAGGTCGTTTGTGTCATTGTAAGATCGCGGTGAAGAGCACAGTTACTCTGGAAGCCTGTATAGCCCCGCGTTACGCGATTAGAATGCGTGCGTTCTATTTATGTTGTGGATGTTGGCACAGTATGTTATATATATACACACCGCATGCTGTGTATAATCACGTGTGGTCATTCGGTAGTGTGGTGATTTATTATGTAAAGCACAAGTACCTGTACTTTATTTCAGTGTGTATACTGTACGTATGTAAACTTGTGTACTGTACGATATACAGGCATTGTTACAGTACATGTACGTGTATACAGAAAATGTGTCGTTCGCACTTAGTATAGTAGTGTACAATATATACTACTACAATGAAGTATTCTCACTGTACATGAAGCAACGTGCTGTGGAGCAGTCCGTGTACTGTAGTATTACTGTATTTATACTGTCCGCATGTCCATGCAGTACGAGTACTGTACATGTAAAAATACGGTCTGAACACGCAAAGTCTATACAAGTGTGTTGTGGTAAGCATTGCCAATGTTTACAGTACATGTAATTCTGTGTATACGCTACATGGTATGCATACTTTTGAAAGAGTACTCCATAGTTTAATGCACGTTCAATACTAAATATAACATCGATGTGTACTGTTCTAAGGGCGTTGTTTACATTATACGTAAGCACGTGTAAACAGTACGGGGGTTTACTTTAGTTGTGTACTATACAAATGCGGTAGAGTTGTATTATAGTAAGAATATTTAATGTAACGGGCATATTCAATTATCTGTAAACAGCACGTCTATATCCTGAAATAAATGTTGTGTTTTTATTTCTAGACGAGTGTGCACTGCCCATAGGACAAGAAAATTGCCAGCGCTGCTTGTGCAAAGCGTATTGCGTCAAAGATTCTGTCATGTGTACACTATATAGGTAGGTAGTGTTCAGAGCGAGTACTGCATGCCTGTCTGCACATACGGTAGCACGTAATCACATACTGTGGGAAGGATGTAAATGTGCAGAGTACTGTAAGTATACAGTTATGTTGGCGTGTGTACGTGGATTGCAGCGAGTAACGTGTAATCGTGTGTAAATCGAATGTGCGTGACCTAGATGGTGAAAGAGTTGTGTATTAATACTGCGTACGTGCGTTATGCTTCTAAGTAGGGGCCATGCTAATTGCGTGCGCCACGCGTATTGCAATGCTGTCTCTGCTGCCGTTTCATGCGGTGGCCGCGCGGGCCTCCCTCTGCTCCTGCTCTGCTCTCGTTAACTGAAAAGTCCGCGCGTTTCGTTCCTCCGTCATGCTCTGGGCGTATTTAATAGTACGCGTGCTTGTATGCTGCACTCATGCCCGTGCGTGGCCTCGCTCTCTTGCTCGCGTTTCGTTGCCGTCCTACCCTTGCATTTGCGCTATCTTGCACGTAGTATTATCCAACTGTGTGCTGTCGCTTTTCACGCCGATTGGCCTCGTGTGTTTTCCATACGCTCCCTCCTTTGCGTTGACCGTGTGTTCTTTTAGCGCGTGTCCCTTATTCCGTAAACGCTCGTGATGTTCGTGCTCTCATGCTCGTGCAAATTTTAACGTCCGTAGCTCCCGCATGAATTCGTCGTACATTCTCATGCACGTGGTTCTGTGCGCGCGCATTTATACCCCGCCCCTCTAGCTACGCCCCCTACTTCCTAGCCACGCCTTTTTCCTCCTAACCACGCCCATGACTCCTCCCACCCACCCCCGTCTTTCTCCCTCTCCCACCACCACACCTCGCCCATTGCTTTGACGTGCACGCGTACGCACGTGACCGCGTGTTTTCGCGGGAGTGCGCGTGCTCGCACACGTGCCCGCCCTCTTCCGGGTGCCGGCGATGACGGGAATGCGCGACACGTGGTTCCCCCACAGCTCTTACACTCCCTCCCACCCTTACCCCACCGCCCCAAAAAAGTGGCATAGTTATTCCTTGCCCTATAAACTCTGGCTTGCAGTAAGCGTCACGGTCAAATATATTAACGAGCCCCGTAACTTACAAACTATTTAAAATCTAATATATTTGACCAGTTACGACCCAGTGAGCTATATAGCTCTTTTTCAGAAGCAACCTGGCCACAAATGATAACGAAGTGGCTTATGTGGAAATTGATAGCCAAATACTCCAAACGCACGTTTCTAAATATGTCTGATACCCTTACACAGAAGTGTGTGTATTAGACTTGTGCCACTTGACCTTTCAGAAACCCACGTGTTTAGTGCTTTGTGGTTGTACTGGCCTGGATAATTATCGTCCGTGTGTACAAATTGTAAATGAGCCCCTTTTGTGTTCGTGGTCACTCCCAATTTTAAAGGTGACTTATGTAAGTTGAACTTCTTTTGCACCATACGTACCCAACTGCTAATTATAGAAATAATGAAAGTGCTTCGGGTTGCAGTCGTCAACATGTGATCCAGTCTGCCTTTGTGTTTCGTGGAACATTGATATGATTAGAGTTATGTTAACCCCAATGCACAAAACATTTGGTTATCCACGTGTGCATATGGAGGTGCACTCATTACAATAGACTGTTAAAATTTAAAGCGTAAAAAAGAGTAGGATGAACTTGCAAAAATGTAAATGTAACAAAAATACATTTAAAATTTCTATCAGAAAATGCATTCCTCAATTGGAATCATGGCTTTTCAGTGGTCTGTACAAATATTGCTTTCAGGTCACCTGTTACCGTAATTGCATAGTCTGTACAATAGCTTCTCATTGTTGCACTTCATCGTGCCATATTAAATAATTAAGGCAATCGTTTCCCTTGAGGTGCCCCAGTCAATATGTTTTTGTTTGTGGGGCAGCTGCTGTCTCGGTTGGAGCGCATGGAGAGGCGAATGCTGCTGGCACGGAGAGATGGTGAAAAGAATGACCAGCAGATTCGGAGGGACCGCAAGGAGCAGCTCAAGGAGAGGAACGAGGAAAATGATGGCCTGGAGGGTTCTCCGCCAGAACAGCCTCCACGGTCGCCCCTGTCACCACAAAAAGCTACAGATCAGCATGGCCACAAAAGGTGATACATGCTAAAGTTTGGCCAAAATCAATGTCAATGTGGTGCTGTTATATTCTGTAACATTGGCGCTATATGTTAATTGACATTTAAAACCCAGCGTAAAAATGATCAATGCTGTTGGCTAACATAATTGCAACATATTTTTTGCATATTCAGCGACTTTGTTTTTCTCGATAATCGTTCCAACTTTACAATGATGTAAAACACTTTCACTTTCTCTTAGGGCTCAGAGCCCCGGCGAACATGACCCCGGGCCCACTGCAAAGAAGCTGGCAATGGAGAGTGAGAATGAGAGCAGCCAGTCAGAGGCACTTACGCGAACTCCAAGCAAGCCTGCCAAGGGCAGGACTTATCACGGAAAGAATGGGAGAAAGTTCTCGAGGCGCAAAGGCTGGGCCCGATGCAAAGCATTGACTGCCTTGAACAGTGCGGCAGAGACGACAAATGCTGATTCACTGTCCGCAGTTTGCCGCCTGAAAAACAAAACGGACAAGAAAGAGGATTCAAGCCCTGTGCGGGAATCGCCAGAGCCATGTGAAACCCCTGAAATTGTGCGACCGTGGGAACGGAGTAAGGGAGTGAATCGTAAAAAGAATTCATGCGTAAAATCTGCTTTGCCTGCGACACCAGAATTAACAGAAACGGATATTGGCAGCCCACGAACACCTTGGCATAAAAACAAGAAGAAGGTAAACTCAAATCACCTGTCACATTCCCCTGCTGAGTTGAGCTCAAAAAACAGCAAAGCCAAGGGTGGCAATAGGGCAGCATTGGAGCTTGACACGCCAAGGCCCTCACAGTGGTCAAAGGGCAAAAAAGGTTCGAACTCGGCGAATCATTCCCCCAGCTCACCTGCCGAGACCAGCACACCTCAAAGCTCGCGGACAAAGGGTGGCAAGGCCTCATTGCCGGTTTGCCCCAAACGTTCGGGCTGGTCCAAGGGTGGCAGGGCACGGGGGAAATGGAGGCAGGCGCATGCCAGCCCGGCACCCGGAGGCTCGTGCTCGCCTCTGCGCGCGTGCACAGCAGACGATGGACGGGACGAGGAAGAGGACCCTGTTTTACGGACGAGTGAAATGTACTGGTGTTACCAATTTCAGCCACCTGCCGTCTCCATGGATGAGCCCATCCTCACAGAGAAGGACGACACTGTCGCAAGTCAGTGTTTTTAGCTTTGTAATGCAGTTATTTTTTCAAGTAACCTGATATGGAATGTTACCTGTTATTAGATACAAATGTTAGAGCAAATGAACCTGTATACTAAAGCAAACGTGTTTGTCATTTTTTTACAGTTCCCTCATGGAGAGAAATTAAACTGGAGCCTTTAGACAAAATCCAGTCTGAATATTTGTTGGAGGTAAGCTACTCACTCAACATTTTTACTTTATTCATTTATTTTTATGAAATGCCATGACCATCATTGATTGTTTTATTGAATTGATTTTTAACAGAATACTGAAGATGAAGCCTTCAATAAGAGACACACCAAACATGAGTTGGATGAAAAAAGGAGGAAACGGTAAGCCTATCAATAATCACTATATTTAGGTTTGGCTAACTATTGTTTTTCAAACTTTTCAGCCACTAATATGCTATACAGTTTGTGGCTTCATCAGTGTTTTACAATTAAAATGGTTAAGTGTTTTAAGAAGTTGCTTTAACACATACCCGCCATTGTATATATTTTCCTGGAAAATATGCTTAACACTGTAGTGTGTGTAAAATCATGATCCAAGCAGCAAGAAAATAGCCTACATTCACAGAACGCAAGTTGTGCGTTGGTGTCTATATGTTGGGAAGTGCTTGTGATCTGACACAAAAAAACTTGAACAGGTGGGACATCCAGCGAATTCGGGAGCAGAGGCAGCTGCAACGGCTGCGGGAAAGGGCCTTTCGCAAAGAAGGAATACCTGAACCTGAGCCAGAGATGTTATCCTTCTTCCCTGAGCCTGAGGATGGTGGGAGACTGCACCTGTACACACATGTTCAAGCAAAACTCATTAATTATGGCTTTGTAAGGCTAGTTTTCATAGCTTCCAGCATTTAATATTTTTATTTTGTCATGTTATGAGATGGGCAATGGATTGCATACTTTTTACATCTTGTTCTTTCAATTTGTATACAAACATGTCCATTCTGTATTTATTTCAATAAATACAGTGGTTGAGTAAAGTATTTTAGTGCTGGTGTTTCCTGAAATGTGTTGATTCTGCAAAAATAAAATTAAACACTAGCTATTAAAGGACTATATTGCACTGGTGAAGTATTGTGTTTTTAATCTATATAATTTAGCAGTTTGACAAAATGTTTTAATATTTCTCTTATTTTGGGGTTTTCTGCTATATTTTTTACAGTGGAGGAGTTGGAGGTAACACCATTGCTACCTGTCATTGCTTTTGGAAGGGCTTTACCAAGATTATTGCCACAGTATGTACCACATGAACATCATCTTGTATTTTGTCTCAAATGATATATTTTTTAAATTGTCTAGAAAGTCTAGCAATGGCTGTTGTAGCTTGCTTTAATAACGGTAAACCAGGCTTCACTTTATTACCTTTCTCAATTTTAAATGCAGTATATTCTGCTGAAGGAGTAAAGTTAGCCGTTAACTTTGCTCATTTGTTGCTGTGCTGGGGTCAAGAAACATGAGCAGCCCATCATCATTTGGACTTTGTGATCTATCCATAGCATTGATGAAACAATACGCGTTTTCCTTTAAATATGAACACTTAACGGAACATTTGAGACGGATCGAATATGTTGCATGATCAAAACAACATTTTTTTCTGCATTCGAAGGGACTTTGAGCTACCGTGGCTCGATGACAGAACGAGGCAGAGGTTGGAAACCCCCAAGAAAACGTCACATGGCCGAGGGCGGTGCAGGTGAGGTCTGCTTATCGGCGGGCCCTCAATCTGTCCAGCTGCCAAGGCAAAACTCTGCGATTCTGCACACTCCAGCTCGCTCACTGGCGTGGACGAGTGCTGCCGATCACAAGATTGCCCAGGAACTGGGGAGGGGGGACGGCTTTTGGAAATGCTGCCGACATGCCGGACTTGAAATTTTATGAGACTCGTAAAGAGATTTTGTGATGATGTTTACACGTTAAGGTCCAACGAGGAGACCTCCACATTTGTTTGCTCAGGCTGTTTTTTTTACGTTTTTTATTTTCTGTTTATGAAGGTTGCACCTCATAGTTGTGCAAAACTGAATGATGTGAACCAAGATTTTTTATCTAATGGCAAGTTTTGTTGTTTTGGTTTGTTGCTCTGTTGGCTCCACTTTCTACGTGGTTTGCCTTTTGTCATTCCTTTGTAAGATCTCTTAAAACTGTTTTTATTCGTATAAGCACATTTGCACTTGAGCATGCATACAAACAGCATTCATTTATTTTAACAGTTGGCAATTTAAAATACGGGGTAAAGATGTTGTGTTGACTTAAAAAAAGGCAAGTCTATCTAACAAATCACAAAAGAATCTGTGCAAATGTTATTGCCATCATTTTTTTGTAAGCATTCAAATAATTTGTCCAAATGACTGCATCCATGGTACTGTAACTGCTTTAATTGTGCTGACATGCTTGGTGCTTTGTATTGCCATTGGAACGCAGTGTGATGTAGATAAAAACGCTCCATCTTATAATCTTCTGTAGACATTGGTGCTTTGTGCACAGTGTACCTGACATTAAACTGCACTATGTAAGCTTCTCTATGTTTTAAAGCAGTTCTGGAACATGTGCTTTGCATCCCAAGTAGATCTGTAAAATAGGAATATCAATTATGGTAAGCATACTTTTTTGACCTCTTATTTGCATACCATTTTCGAGCAGTGCTTGAGGATTTGCGTCGTTTAAGTGTTTACAAAAAGGAAGGTAATGTATGTGATTTTTTTTGATGCACTGAGTAAAGAATTTGACAATGTGCAGAGGGAGAACTTACACAAGATAATTGACTTGATGCACTTAAATAGTCGAAAGACCAACACTTACTGTATTGTTGCAAAATATTGTTTAGTACTAATACTACATATGCACAAAATTACCTATTCTCCAGCCAATTTATTGGCCACTTGTTGGTGTGGATCATTTGTAGAGTTTTGTAATCTAAAAGCCATGAAGGTTGATGTTTGGGCATTTAAACGATGACACTTGGTTGTATTTACCAGTTTATTTTTGGCTATTTTTTTGCTATAGAGTCTGGGATGAGCGTCCGAGCAATTTGGTGCATCCAAAATGTCTGATCATTCGCAAATAGTAACATGGTCCATACCATTGCTAAATTAAAGTCTCGGAAAAATCTTATCCATTTATAAGAGGATATGTTTCTCTCGTGTGATATGGTGTACAATACAATTAGTGTCCATCGCCCCCTTCGAGGTGAACAATGCTGAATTATTTTTGACTGCAAGATTTTCTTGTCACCGATTAATTTAAAAGATCCTCTTGTGTTCAAAGCACATGATTCTGATGCATAGATTAAAGAAAAGCCCTAATGTTAACATACATCCATTCTATTCAAGTACCTTGCTTTTTTAGCCTGTGCTTACTGTTTCAAGTGTATGGTGTGTACTGCACCATGGGACGTGGTAAATGTCAATATTGTATTCAGTATATTGTGACCACTGGTTTAACTGAATATTGTCTTCGTATGGAGACGGCTTAGATAATACAGTGTATATATTGTTTAAAACAGTGACGGATTCTGTACAGTAAAAACTGCCATTTAATGCTGAAAGATGTTGCTGGGATGGGCTGTAAAATGTAAACTAAGGAATTTGTTTTGTACTGACAAGTTTGTCATGAATGTAGATAATAAACCGTAAAATGTTTCTTGTTAAAAGCTATTTCATGGCGTTTTTGATATTGTCTTTGAGGGAGAGGAGCTACGAGCACTCACAGCATGCCCAGAGAACTTGACCGGAGCACATCGTGGGCAGCAGAGTGAAGTACAATAAAACATTATTGTACTGTATTTGTACGCTGCCATGTCTTTGCTCCCACCTTCAACAATCCACATTGACCGGTGGTGATCAAATAAACTCCACAACCTGCACGGCGTGGAGGTAGTCTTCACCTCGCAGTGGATTGACACGAGGATTGTAGAAGTATGGCACAGTGCCTCATCAGCACTTGGGACGAAGTGTGATTTTTTAACAGTTTGGATGGGTCGCCATTGAAAAAAACAGAATCTTACGTTAATGTGCATCACTCGAAATAAACTGCAGCTTTTGTACGATGGCATGACTTTAATGTACCGATCATCACAGCGTGTATCGGAGGAAGATGGGTTGCACACTCTCCCATGAACTCAAAAGTTCGCATTAACGAGTTTGCACAGAAGGTGGCAGCATAGGCACTTAAGTTTGTCACCATGAAGACAGACAGGCACGCACGTCTTGAACTGCAGCGTAAAGTCACTTTGTTCGGATACAAATTATACATTGCAGAAGTGTGAAAAAAAACGAGCGAAATTAACACGTTGAGGATAGAAACATTTACAAAATGCATCCCGTAACTTAAACAGACGATACGCCTTCACATATCCCTGTCCCTCCACGTAAAATAATATATTGAAGTACATTTGACCCATCCCATCAACAACACAGCCTTGTGGGAGTGCATAATTTTAGCAGCAATTCATTCAATGTGGCAAATGTTTATAGGCAAGGACCCTCTTCCACCAAGCTTGGGTTCCAGCTCGACAAACCCATATATACACAGCCACATTATATGAAGTCTATAACTTCGTGTATGTCCTCAGAAGTGACTAATACAGAATAACTTGTCCGTGGTGATGCGGAGGACCAATACCGTGCTTCCTATTATCCGCGAGGTTATCCGCAAAGAATTACTGTGGATAATTTTGGATAATAGGATTTATAGGGCTGGATAATAATAGGACCTCTGGATTGCAAGTCGAATGTCCGTACCATCTAAAGTGCTGTGCAGTATACGTTTGTGAAAGAGGATAAAATACGCTTCCACGTATGATATGTAATTAAACAGTTCCCAACACGACACAGCAGGTACGTTCGATAAGCGCTCAACTGTATGTAATTGCCTCAACAAAGGTCGATCCAGAGTGTGTATGAAGTGTTAATTAAATGCGTCCTGTGGTGAAGACTGACCGGTGGCTCTCCCGTGTCGTGTCACTTGGCATTACAATTGTGGCAAAAGGGACAAAAAAAATCAAAGCTATTGCTGTTTCACTTGTCTATTTTAAAATACCCAACCCCCACAAGACTCCCAGAGCCTTTAGCCAAGTGGTTAAATTGAAAGGACATGGCAGCGGAAGATCTTCATTCACTGACCAATAAACTGTTTGCATTGCATAGGAAAATGTGACAGCACAATATATGTAAAACGATCTTTAAAACATTAACTCGCAATTATATTGGGTGCTCTATTGATTATATAACAATGTTATGTTTCAGTACCCATTTAAATACAAATAATGTATGAAGTAGATCATTCGTGCAAAAGATAACTTAAAAGACAAAAACAAGCCTACAGGGAGTGATTGCTATCTGCCATGTGATGACTGAAAGGAGAGAGAGGGAGATTTAATAATTATAATTATTCAAATTTGTATTTACCCAAAAATACCTCATTGAGTCTCAAAACTTTTCCAGGAAGGTCCTACATTCGAATATTTGGCTAACACGATTGACGAGTGGCATGTCGGAAGAAACCGGAGTATATTTGAAGAAAACCCATGCACAGGAGGGGGTAACATTGAGCACGATCATCTCCTGGTTACTTTGCAGCCCCTATTTACAACAGCTGACTGGGGCCAGGTGGTCAGCCATCAAAATGCTAACCAGGATTAAACCTTAACTTAAAGCTTTCGTGACTGCAGGAATTCATACTCGTTGGGTCTTTTGGTAAAGTCACGTATCTACGTATCTACGTGACTTTACCAAAAGACCCAAAGAGCAGGATTAAACCTGTTTAGTGTCTAAGATTCTTAAAAATTAGGTGCATTTATGGTCATTTGATGTTAGGCTAAAGCTGAAAATATGAACAATAAAGCTTAAGTTGTCAAATGGAACACCATGGATAAAATGGTAATGTTAGGCATAATTGAAACATGCCTTAGGAGTACCAAAATAATGCACTTTCCTGTTCTTTGGCAGCCCATTTAATGAAATATCAGCATTCAACAAGAAATCCCCATCAATCATGTGTTTTTATTTAAAACATGAGATTGAATTCGCTAGTGTTTAAATATGTTATTCTTCACGTACCATATTAAATCAATCTCTAGAAATACTGGGTTTGGAGAATGGCAAATGGAGACAGTTCATTACATGTTTTTTGCACTAGGGGTCAGCAACACACTGCAATCACATTTTTTTAACATTCCGATTGCAATGAAGTTGAAAATCTGTTTGCAAGAAATTTGCAGCCATCTGTAGTGCAACATTTTTGTGACTCACCCACGCTTCGCTAACTGGTCATCTACAATAAACAGCTACAATATATCTTACTCAACTTTACTTCAAACAGACTGACTTCATTTCTCAAATCAGGCAAAACTCAAGGAAAAAAAGAATAATCCACTTTGTTGCATTTTAAAAAGGCTTGCATTAACAACTGTCAACGCCACAGTACAATGAAGTGGTAATAATGTATTATGTATATGTAATATGTCCTTTGAGTGCATTCTGGCACTGGATGCAATTTGTAAAGCATGTATGGTATGTGAGCTATTTGGTAATACCGCATTGGCAGCGATGCACAAGCACACACAACAGAAAATCTCAACACGTGCGTCAATGACACTGCCTTTAAAGGTGAAAGATATCATAGTAAACGTTTTGGGAACTGGCCCTTCTTCATAGCACATTGATCGTAATTAGTAGAAGCAAGTGTTGCACTTCAGGTAGCAACCAGCGTGCGTGCTTTTTACCCCTCTGCTCTTGCCACCTCTGCCATACACGTGGCAGCACATTTATGTGGCGTACTGGCTTTTTTAACATTAAAATCATCAGTGCATTTTAGGGTTAGTCGTCTTAAGAACGGTTTTAAAAGAAGGAACTTTGAAAAATAAGTTGAAAAACGTGGGAAATGGTAGCAAAGGTATTGTAGCCACAGAATTATGGTCTACTTTTCAAACGTTACTTTGCTGACATATAGAGCATATGATGCAGTTTTGAGACTTATGATCGATACTATGTTGTGAATTCTAACATGTATTTTAAGTACAGTATGTCGGCTGGAATATCACTTTTACACAACGTAATTACTGGATTGTAAAATTATGTATTTAGTGGTACACTCCACAATTTTGGTATTGTGCTATATTATATCACACATGTACAGAGCCATAACTGCACTCATGACCTACCCTGGTATGAAGCTTTCATAGAAGAATGTAATATTTAATTCAGGAGCTGTTCCATAATTATACCGTATTATAATAAAGCCCTTTAATTACGAAGGAAAACTTTAGTGAGTCTCAGGTCTCTTATTTTCATTTGGGTTCTGCATCTGGATCTTGAATTTTTTACTTTAATGAGTAGTTGGCATGTGGGAGGAAATCAGAGTACGCAGAGAAAAGTCCATATATATACAATGTGGTGACACTTAAAGTTCCACACAATGAGATTCAAGAAGCCAATGTCATCCATTCATAAGCACATCATGGCCACCTAGCAGCCCAAGCCAACAGTATTTAATATTTCCAGGCAGTCCCCCATCCACGTCCTCGCGGGGTTTCACCTTTCTTAACTTCAGAGATTTTACAAGATCGGTCGCATTCATGCATGCGGGCTGACAGTTTTTTCCCATGCATTGTGGAATGCATGAGTGTAATGTTAAAATATACGGCAGAGGATAGCTATGATTTTTTCAACGCCATTGTACAGAAAGTATATTCAGTTTAGGCAGAGGCTTTTAACCCAATATTAAAAACTTTGGTTGTTAAATTTCTGCACATAGAAAGCTTAAAAAGGTCTCACAGATAGGCATTGCCCATGTTTTATACATTAAAATGATGTTAGCTTTGATTAGAGCAACCACACACGTACTTGGTACCAAACCTTTTGTAATATTTTAAAGTCTTCTTCCATATGTCGATATAACAATAATACATTTTTGCCACGGACTGCAAGGTGGTCATTGAGTTTGGCATGGCCTTGCTTTATCATCACTGTTCAGTAGTGCACCGGCCTTTGTGTATGCTCATAGCTACTTTTCACCTGGCTAGACCTGCCCATCCAGAAATGGTAACCCAGGAAAATTGGGTGATTCTTTGAAAAGGGGAGTCGTAGTCAGTGTAAGGCCTCAAGGGTGATTGATTTGCCTCAGGAGACAGCATTCCTTTCTCCGGCGTAATCCCCTATCTTCAACACCCCAATCGAGCGGCTCACCTGGTGCGTAGCGTACAGTACGCTCAGGCACTACATTTTCAGGTCCCACTAAAGCATTGGGATTTTACTTTCTTCTCTAGGCTCCGCAGTCGAAAACAATGGCGCAAGTTTCCTAAATCCCACTGCCTCTGTCGGCTCTGCCAGTGCCTACACCACAGTTAGTTGATCAGCAGGTTGTGCGCGGTGGGGTAAAGTGTGGGTACTCTCACTTCTTCCAACACGTTCAGCTTGCGTGGAAGCGTAGGCCAAATACCCTATATAGGGGCTCTGTCTAATCGAGGTCCCTCTGACAGCATTGGCCTAAAACATAAATGTAAGTGCTGTATTTTCTTAAAATCCTTTATCTTTTTAATCTTGAGCGTTGGTTTTTAAACCATCGGCGTTGTTTTTGCCCCATTTTATCTTCAACTATCACTTAAGCTTAAATTCCAACCCAATCTAAATAATCTCTTTGTATGACTTTGTCTGACGATTTGAGATTGCGTAACAAAGAGTAAATCTTAAATAAAAGTTTAGCTCATAAATGAAGTGATTTAATTAAAATTGTCAGAGAAAGCTGAAATATGTTTTTCTTATAAAGGTGCCACGCATTTGAAAC